TGTCCGTCTGGCTACATTCGCTGGCGGCGAGTGCTGGTTGTTAGCCTTGACGATTTGGGTAGGTGAGAGAAAACCTTTGGCCGGTTGAGATGGGAGAGGACAGCCGGTGATGGGGCTGCTGGGGTGTGGGGGAGCCCAGGGGGCAGCCCTGGGCCACGGAGGCAGAGCAGAAGGAGCTTCTCCGTAAGGCAAAGGGCAGCAGGTGGGCAGAAGGAATGGGGCAGGGAGGGGGCATTCCCCATCCTGGGTCTGAGCCCAGCTCTCCCCTGGTCCCTCCTCTGTGGTTTCTGTGGGTGCTGGTCAGGCCAGAGGAGGGCGGGGCCTCCAGTGTGTGCAGAGGAGGGTGGGGCGGGGCCTGCAGTTGGCACAGACCCCCCAGGTCTCAGTGGCAGGAGAGGGGAGGCGCCTGGCCGCCTGCCACGTGCCTCTGACCTCCGCTGTCCTCCCTGCAGCTTGGAACCGGCTTCAGTGATGAGGAGCTGGAGGAGCATTTCCAGAGCCTTCAGGTGGGCACCGCGACCTCGCAGCCTCTCCCCACGCGCTGTGTGTGTGTGTGTGTGTGTGTGTGTGTGTGTGTGTGTACAGGGCGCAGGGCCTCTGCTGCCTTGGGGCTCAGGGTCCTGGGAGGGGACAGCAGGCAGTGGAGCTGGCTTGGGAGCCCCTCATGTCCAGGGTCAAGTCCCAGCTCCGCTGCGGATGGGCGGGGTCATGGAGCCTCCACCTTCCCAGCGCCCGCCTCTGCTGGGGGCTGAGTCGCGGGGCAGGTTAAGCCCCTAGTAATGTAACTGGGACTGTTGTGATGGTCACAGGTGCCTTGGGTACAACCCCCTTTCCTGTGTGTTGGTGTCTCTGCCTCTGTATCATTCTCGCTTCTCTCTCTCTGGGTCCCCGTCATTGTCTCTGCGCCTTTTATCTTGACTGCCTTAACTCAGGTCCCAGGGCCTCTGTCTCTCATCTCTTCCCTTCGCCTTTCCTCCTTTACCCCCACCCAGGCCTTTCCGTGTCTCCGTCTGTCTCCTTTGCCCATTTCCTCGCCCTGACTTGGCGATCCGAGACCCTCTCTTCCTCCCACCCGCTGCTGTTCCCCGCAGGCCCTGGTGCTGCCCAGCCCACGCTCCTACGTCCGGGCCGACGGCGCCGTGGCCCCCGACCACTGGCTGGACCCCAGCGCCGTGTGGGAGGTGAAGTGCGCCGACCTGTCCCTGTCCCCCATCTACCCCGCTGCCCGGGGCCTGGTGAGTCACAGGGGTGTGGCGGGAGGGACCTGGGGCCCACCTTCCAAGTGCAGGAGGGGAGGGGGTCATGGAGCCCACGCCTGTGCTACCGCTCTGATAACAGCCAGGAAGTCTTGCACTTGCATTTTATTTGGGTGTAAGACAACAAGGTTAACGTCTCTCTCTCTCTCTCTCTCTCTCTTTTTTTTTTTAAAGAAATTCCCCAAGTTTAGAAACTAAACAGTGAAATTGTTTCCTCTCGTATCATAGTCTCACATTTGTTTCTTCAGTGAGTTTTGAAAACACAGTTCTTTTGGGTAAAAGTGGAGACGCTTCCTGCTGAGCATTGACGCCAGCTGGGAGGGCGCTTCTTTCTCCACCGCAGTCCATTTTCTCGCTACCGAGTCTTAAAATGCCCAGGCTGGTGTCCGTCACCGGGGTTCAGTCCTCAACACCGGCTGTAAAGGGTCAACGTACGGAGAAACAGCACGGGGGTCACGCTCTGCACTCCCCTCCAGAAACCTGGCAGTAAAAATGGATTTCTTTTGTGATTTCTTCCAATCCTTCAAAATCTAGCTTGCATACGCTTTTCCGATTAGGAGTGATCTTCTGTTTAAAGGCGGAACTTCATATTTTTGTTTTTTCAAGTTTATTTTCAGAGAGAGCGAGAGCAGGGGAGGGGCAGAGAGAGAGAGAGAATCCCAAGCAGGTGCTGCACCGTTAGCACAGAGCCCGACGCGGGGCTCAAACCCATGAACCATGAGATCATGACCTGAGCCAAAGTCGATGCTTAACCAACTGAGCCACCCAGGCGCCCCTGGACTCCTGTTTTTAAGTTGAATTTTTTTTGAAAATTCTCAGTCAGGCTCCACCCCTAGACAGGGTCCCCCGGGTGACAAGTGACAGGAGCAGTGTTTCTGGAACAGCTGTGCGAAGCGGGCACTGTGCTAACGAGCTCAGCACCCGTGAGCACATGTCCCATCCTCAGGACACACTGAACGTCCCCAGAAATAGAGCCCCGGGAGCCGAGGTCACTGGCCCAGGGTCACGCAGCTTCTGAGTTGGGAGCTGGGATTTGAACCCTGCCTCTGGTTTTAGGACCTGCACCCCGTGTCTGCTGTCCTGCCTCTCGGCTCTAAGAATAATCATGTAACAGCAGCATAACTAATAGCTATGGTAGCTCATGTTTCTTCAGCACTTATTATGCTCCAGATGTGGTCCTAACTAGCACTTTGTTACCTTATTTAATTTTTATAACCTGTTGCCTGGCCCCATCATGTGGATGAGGAAACGGAGGCTGGAGGGGAGGGAGCGCAGAGGAGACTGGCTAGGAAACTGCCGGCATAGGTGGCCTGAGGGCTGGACCCCAGGAGGGTCTCCATCATCACCCCCCCTCTGCCAGGTGGATGGTGAGAAGGGGATCTCCCTCCGTTTCCCCCGGTTTATCCGCGTCCGCAAAGACAAGAAGCCAGAGGAGGCTACAACCAGTGCCCAGGTGAGGCCTCGGCCGGGCCGGCTCCTCAGTGGTGGGTTCTGGAATGGGGGGTGAGGGTACCCCTGGGGCTTCTGACCGCCCGCCTCTCACTCGCTCTCCCCAGGTGGCCTCCCTGTACAGGAAGCAGAGTCAGATTCAGAACCAGCAGGGCGCGGACTTAGACTCCGACCCAGAAGATTTCTACTAGGCTCCCGCCCCCCCAGGGCGGGGGGCAGAGGGTGGCGGGGATGGGGGCACCGGGGGCATCACCCCTGTTCTTCAGCAAACCCTGTGTTGCAGCCGAGTGGGTTTTGAGTGTTACATGTGTGTGCGCACGAGGGATGGTTTAAGCCGGAGTCTGGGATTTAATCAGTCGTTTGTTTTCAATAAATAATTATTGAACCCCCCACTGTGGCGTCAGGGTCTGTGTGGGCGCTGGGGGCGTGGCTCCTGGAGCTCTGCGTGGGTGGTGGGGTCATCGAGAACTGTCAGCCAGCACCTTCCAGGAGAATTGTCTGCAGAGCTGGGAGTGATCTCCATCCGCACGCGGCTGCCAAGCGCTTGAGATGCAGCCGGTGTAGCCAAAGGATCAAAAACGTTTTTTAAGTTTATTAATTTATTTTGAGAGAGAGAGAAACAGTGCGAGCAGGGGAGAGGCAGAGAGAGAGGGAGAGAGAGAGAATCCCAGGCAGGCTCCGGGCTCCGCTGTCGGCACAGAGCCCCACGCGGGGCTCAGACTCGTGAACCACAAGATCACGACCTGAACCAAGTCGGACGCTTAACCGACTGAGCCCCCCAGGCGCCCCTGATGATGTTCATTTTAATCCTTCGATCGAGATGGTGGCTGCTCGGCGTCTGCCCTACAGAGTGCCTCTCCTCTGCAGTGTCAGCAAACGTGGTCAAACTTGGCACTTTTCTGTCCTGTCTGTACAGCTCCCGGTTCCCTGTGTCACCCTGTGTGGCCCATTGTCCTCTCTGGTTCGCCAAATCGCCCCCGACCTTCCCAGTGGAACCTCTTTAGGGCGACGTCCGTGTTCCTTTGCTGTGACCCCAGGGCTCTGTCCTGGCTTCATGGCACTAGATGTTTCTAGGCCCGTCTTCTGCTTGTCCCGCTCCAGGCAGGGCGCAGCAGTGGCCTCTGGTCTCTGCTCCTTGAGTGCAGAAGGGCGTTTGGAAGTCAAGACCCGGATGCTGGACGTGTGGCTGCTCTGTGTCCTCTTAGCGCCATGACATAGGTCCAAACGTCCCCACACACACGGCGATGTCTGTGTCTGCTTTTACATTGCTCTCGGGGCGCCAGGGGGGCTCGGTCGGTTGGGCGTCTGACTCTTGGTTTCTGCTCAGGTCACGATCTCCCGGTTCGTGGGACTGGGCCCCGCGTCAGGCTTTGCGCTGACAGGCTAGAGCCGGCTTGGGGTCCTCTCTCTGCCCCTCCCCCACTCACGGTGTCTCTCAAAATAAAAAAGCTTTACCTCCCTTGCTGTGGTGAAACCCACCAGTGCATCCCAGTGCGACCGATTCCCACACACCGCACGCCCCTCCTTGCCCATCCCAGTTCCTGTATCAGCGACCTTTCCCGCCGGTGTCCTCACCCCACACCTTGCCACTCAAGCCATCGCCTTCCCTACCTGCGCGTAGACACCGCCTCCCTTGGCCACACACACCCCCACCCGGCTCCCTGGGCCACGCCCCCTTCGCTCCATGCCCTGTTTGGACTCGGGCTCCCTACCCCCAGGATAGAGACCCTTCGACTTCTCACTGTGGCCAGCATGAACGCCGCCTCGCCCATCCCCTCCCCTCCCCCCAACTGTTTAGGGAGACGAGACAGGCAGGGAAGAGATGAGGAAGCGCAAACACTGCCCTGTCGATCGCCGCTTCCTGGGGTCAGGCCACCCCTCGGTTCTTGCATCCTGCTCGGTGGCTGGCAGCTCCTGTGGCCAGGGACGTGGCCTCGACATCTTCACACGCCCAGAGGCTGGCAGACGCCCTGCGGTGGGCGGCAGGAACGAGTGAGCGGAGGCCCCGGGCTCTAATCCCTGTTTTTGAAATGATCTTTCCAGTTCCATCCTGGGGATAAAAGGTCAGAGCCTGAGCCAGATGGGGAGGCAGGAACAGCTCTGATCCCTCCCCACCTTGAGTAGAGATTTTTGATCCAGCTGTCAGAGCTGTGGGACACTGGGGACCGAGGGAAAGGCCGAGAGAGAGGCAGGAAGGGTTGGCAGAGGAGTGACAGGAGGCTGAGCCACCGAGGGGGCGGCAAGGAGGGAGAGCCGACGTGAGACCGGTGCCTGCTGAGCCCTGTCCCCGACCTCATGCAGTTTCCCATGGGCCCCGCCTGCATCTTCCTGAGAAAAGGCATCGCTGAGAAGCAGCGGGTGAGGTGGCGGACAAGGCGGGTGGCGAGGACCGGAGGGGCGTGCTGGGTGCGGGGGACAGGGCACAGGCTGGGGGTTGTGACTGAGGTTGAATTCCGGGGAGAGCTCAGTGGGTTGATGAAGTGGGCGAGGGTGAAATCAGAAGTCAGCAGCCAAAGGGGGAGGTGAAGGAAAGACCTTCAATGACCTGCAAAGAAAAGAGGTCATTGAATCCTCAGGTCGACTTACAAGCTTGGCAACACTCTCATTCCCATTGTATAGATGCATAAACTGAGGCTCAGTCCCGGAACCTCATATGGTGACTGAGGGGCGGGGCAGTCAGGTGTGTGTGAGTCAGTGGGCCCACTTTTCACTGTTAGGCTTTCAGATGACCAGAGAGTCGGTGGCATTTCCCAGGTCGGGTGCCTGACCCTGGCGGTTTCCAACAGTGGTGAAGCCAGTGGTGATCAGAAATTCTTAGCTGGGTTAGGAACTGGTCATGCGGGCAGGGATCCTCCTGCCCCGATGCCGCTGAACGCTGGTCCCCACAAAAGGGATTCTAAGCTTTGGGAGAAAGAATGGGGTGGGTGAGGAAAGAATTAAGTGGGTGTAGTGAAAAGAATTCAGACTGAGAATTTGGATCTCAGTGCCCGCTGCTTCTCACCTGCTGCACAGCCTTGAGGGGGTGATTTCAGGTCTCCCTGCCCAGGGAGGGGCTCTGCCACGTAGGAGCTGTGTGACCGGAGGCAGTTTCCTTAACCTCTCTGTTCCTCCAACTCCTCTTCTATAAGATGGGAATGCTGTTTCTTTGGTCCTACTGGACAGGGCGGTTCTGACGTTTAAATGGAGGGACTGGACGCCTGGCCCAGAGCTGGTGCTCTGAGCACGTTCACTGTGATCCTAAGCCTCACCTTCTTCTTCCGGAGAAGGGGGGGATTGGATGCGCAGCACCCAGGGCCCCCCTTTCAGCACAGTGGGATGAGTGTCCGCTCAGGAAAGGCAGAGAGAGGGGGATCAAGATTCCAGGACAGGAGACAGGAAGCGCAAAGTGATGGGTAAGAGGGCGAGGAGCAAGAAGCCATGGATGGGAGTCAGGAGGCAGGCGAAGGAAGAGGAGGGGTGGGTGGGCCAAGCAAGAACCGAGAAGACACAGGAAAGGGGAGGGAGGGCTCAGTTGGGAAAGGACAGTTGGAGAAGTGAATGCCGGACCTCTGACCCTCTCCAAATTCCCCCTCCCTGCATTCCATTCCAGGAAAGACCCCTGGGACAAGATGAGATCGAAGGTAACCTCTGTCCCCAGATGACACCTCATTGTCATCCGCTGCTAACCTGCTTTATGTGCATGTCCGTGTAGACCCTTCCTGCCTCTCCCTCCTCCCACGTTAGCCGCTATTTTGTGGAACTCTTTCTCATGGCAGTTTAGGTGCCTCCCAAAGCGCTTAGAAGGTATCCCCATCCCCAAGTGTCTCCACGACCCAGGAGTGACCCATGCATGAGTTTATTTACTTTGAGAGAGAGAGAGATTGAGAGAATCCCAAGTGAGCTCCGTGCTGTAAGCGCAGAGCCCGACATGGGTCTCAACCTCGTGAACCATGAGATCATGACCTGAGTGAGCCAAAATCAGGAGTGGGATGCTCACCCGACTGAGCCACTCAGGCGCCCCATATGCATGAGTTTTAAGATGAATCAGAAACTGTTGGGTTTTTCTTCTGGTGGTTTTGAAGTTTCCCATAACTTCACCCCCAGAATTTGAAAGCCTCAGGGGCCATCATGAACCATTCATCTGACACGTTTCCATCTTGCACGTCGGAGTCTCCACCCACATTCTGTCCATCACCCCTTTCCGAGATTTTGGTTTTCAAAGATGTGCTCCTCAGGGAAGTCTGTAGTGGGCCCCTCATTGATGGTTTCAAGGGACGCCAGTCTGCCCCGTTGACTGTTTCAAGTCCCCCCAAAGTTCTCTCTTAACTTTCAGAGCTTCGGGAAGCCTTTCTTGAGTTCGACAAGGACAGAGATGGGTTCATCTCTTGTAAGGATTTGGGGAATCTCATGAGGACGATGGGCTACATGCCCACGGAGATGGAGCTGACTGAGCTAGGCCAACAAATTCGCATGAACCGTGAGAGAAGGACGGGGGCCGGGGGCGGGCTATGGGGGGAATTGCGGGGGGGATGTGGAGGCAAGCAGGAGATAAGGAAGAGGGTAGGCGGTGCGGGGGATCTGGAAGCCAGAGTGAGCAGGGGAGGCAGCGTTTGAAGTGAGCAAAAAGGGTGACCTTAGACGCGGATCTGGGTCATTGTAGGGTTTTTTTTTTTTTAATTTTTATGTATTTTGGGGAGAGAGAGACAGCCAGACAGAGAGGATGAGCTGGGGAGGGGCAGAGAGAGAGGGGGACAGGGAATCCAAAGCAGACTCTGCACTGACAGCAGTGAGCCCAACACGGGCTCGAACCCACGAACTGTGAGATCATGACCTGAGCTGAAGTTGAACGCTTAATCTACTGAGGAGCCCAGGCACCCCAGCTGTGGGCCTTTTCAAGCATGGAGTCAACCCCCACTCTTGAGTCTCAGTTCCCCTCCGCCCCTGGCAGGCAGGGATGATGTTACCCCTTGTTCGGTTGTGATAAAGGAGCAGACGCAGGTCAGGCTCTGGGTATGGACGTGGTTACTCCCATCAGCACTGAAACAAGTCAGTCCAGCTCCAGATTGAAACCCTATCTGCCACTGGAAACAAATCTGGAGTGGATTTCAGAGCTCATTTCAGAAGGAAGCTGGGCCAGAATGGCTCTGAGGTTTGCTTCTGGGCGTGTCACGGAGGGACAGATCATGTTCTTATCTGGAAGAGATCTGGCTCCCATTTAATTCACACTTCCCCTCCCATGGCCCAACAGATGAGGGAACCTAGAGCTGAACCCATTAAGAGATTTGCTCAAGGTCACGTGGACACCTAGGTCCTTCTACCCTGCGCACCCCATCCACCCCGGTTTGGATGAGAGGGACCCTGGGGCCCGGGTTGGCTGAGAGGAAAAGTTCTCAGAAGGTAGAGAGATCAGAGCAGGTCTACCTCTTGAACAGACCTTGAAGGTAGTGGGGGATTAGGCGCACGGAATCTCACGAGACCTGCCTCCTCTGTCCTCAGTGGGTGGCCGTGTAGACTTTGACGACTTCGTGGAGCTGATGACCCCCAAACTGCTTGCAGAAACGGCGGGGATGATTGGCGTCCAGGACATGCGTGATGCCTTCAAGGAAGTGAGTTAAGAGTTTTCACGATGTAGAGGTAGTTGAAGAAACCCCAGGGGCCTACGATTGGACTTTAAGCGTGGACAGAACCCACCCAAACCCAATTTTGTGGGGAGCTATGATGGGATTTATAGGGAAGGAAAATAAGGTATTCCAAACACTTGCAATGCTCAAGGTCCTCTGCGTACACCCTCTAATTTAATGATTGCAGAGAACGGTAGGAGTAAGCATCCACTTAGCTCAGTCATGTATCTGAGGAAACGAGGGCTCATGGAATTGACTAAATCTTACCCAGGATCCTGCAATCCCCTAATCACATGTTAGGACCTCTCGTATCAGCATCTGTAATGGGAAGAAGGAATCCAATAATTTGAGATCCCAGAGGGGAACGCAAAGAGATAATCTGGTTGAACCCACTTGTAGACATGCTTAAAAAAACGAGACCCAGGGAGGGTGAGGGGCTTGCTGAAGCCCCTGATCATCTCCTGATAAAATGCTATTCTCAGAGCTTTCAATAACAGGAGGCAAAGACTTTGGAGCCATGCAAACATGGGTCACAGTCCCAGAAGATCTCCCCCTATCAGCTGTGTGATGTTTCTGCCCCAGCTTCACATAAAGATATAGAGTTGCATCGTCCAAAAGAACTTTCTGTGATCTCAGAACTGCTCTGTCTGGGGTACCTGGGGGACTCGGTTGAGCACCCCATTTCAGCTTAGGTCATGGTCTCGCGGTTTGTGGGTTCAAGCCCTGTGTGGGGCTCTGTGCTGACAGCTAGCTCAGAGCCTGGAGCCTGCTTCGGATTCTGTGTCTCCCTCTCTCTCTCTGCCCCTCCCCTGCTCACGCTCTGTCTCTTCTCTCTCAAAAATAAACAAACATTAAAAAAAATTTTTTTAAATCAAGCCCTTGACATGTGGCCATTCTGACTGAGGAACTGATTTTTTCATTTTCTCTCATTTTGATTAGTTTCAGTTCAATTATGTATTTAATTTCCATTGACATTCAACAGAATATAAATTCAATTTGTTTGAATTTAAAAACAAGTATGCAGGGGGGCGCCTGGGAGGCTTAGTCAGTTAAGCGTCTGACTTTCGCTTGGGTCATGATCTCGCGGTTCGTGGGTTTGAACCCCACGTCGGGCTCTGTGCTGACTGCCAGCTCGGAGCCTGGAGCCTATTTCAGAGTCTGTATCTCCCTCTCTCTCTGACCCTCCCCTGCTCACACTGTCTCTCTCTCTCTCTCCTAGAAATAAAATAAATAATAGTAATAATAATAATAATAATAATAAAATAAAAATAAAAACAAGTATGCAGGGAGCCTGGGTAGCTCAGTCGGTTAAGCATCCAACTCTTGATCTCAGCTCAGGTCTTGATCTCAGGGTCATGAGTTCAAGCCCTGCACTGGGCTCTCTGCCGGGTGTGAAGCCTACTTAAAATAAAATAAAATATAAAATGAAATGAAATGAAAAAATAAAACAAAAATATTCAACTCAGTTATTGGGAAACATTTGAAAACCTTGGGTGTGTAGATCTATCCTTTCAACTATAAATTGTACAAAAGTTGCATACAGATCAAGTATTTCTGATACTATTTGGTGTTTGAATTGAGAGGTACTATCAGTGGTAAAATACACCTGGATTAAGACTTAGTATCCTTGGCTTAAGTATATGTGTGCACTGAGTACATTAACTAATCACGCTAAGTGTAAGTACTTACTATGGTAGTATGCTAAGTCTTACGAAATCCAGTGTGAATTAAAAAAAAAATAATAATCTTTAAGGATTTTATTTTTAATTTGAGAGAGAGAGATAGAGTGAGCACAAGCGGGGGAGGGGCAGAGAGAGAGAGAGACACAGAATCCCAAGCAGGCTCCAGGCTCCGAGCTGTCAGCACAGAGCCGGACTCGGGGCTTGAACCCACGAACGGTGAGATCATCACCCGAGCCAAAGTCAGAGGCTTAACCAACTGAGTCACCCAGGCGCCCCTGATTTCTGTCTTAAACGAACACGAACCGTGAGATCCTGATGTGTGGACCACCATGGGGTCCAGAGGATCAATCAGGGGACTATCATGACAGTCCAGGCAAGAGATGACTGTGACTTCAGCCGGGCTAGAGAAGGCTAGCCGGCCGCCTCCCCTCCCCGCTGGGGGGATGATAGCACAGAGGAGAATTTCCGTGCAGGTTGGTTAATGGCGTGCAGCGTGGAGGCTTGAAAATAGTTCGTTAATTCAACTAATATTTATCCCGCGTGTACCGTGGGGAAAGCACTGTTTGGGGGACCGGTCACGGGGCAGTGGACGAGGCAGTGAGAATGACGACACTCGGATGCAGGAAGAGCTCTTAGCTTAGCTCCCGACCCACCCACGGCGACAGGTGGGGAAACACCGCTATTGTCACGGTCATTGCCAACACCACCCCTCTGCTCTGCGCAGTTTGACACCAACGGGGACGGGGAGATCACCCTCGCAGAGCTGCAGCAGGCCATGCAGAGGCTTCTGGGAGAGAAGCTCACCCCTCGCGAGATCTCCGAGGTTGTGCAGGAGGCGGACGTGAACGGAGACGGCACCGTCAACTTTGAAGGTGACGTCGCAGGGGGCAGCCACCATCCTTGAGCGGCTCCCTTTCTAAGCCAGGGCTCACCCCTGCCTCTCCCGTGCCTGTCCCTTCCCCGCTTCACGGGGCGCCTTTGTCAGAGAACGAAATGTCCCATCGGGAGAGCGGACTGGTTAGCGGCTGGGGCTCTGGGGTCAGATTCACGGGGTTCAAATTCAGGGTCGCCTCTGACTTGTCCTATCAACTTCACGCTTGAAGCGGGACGCCTGACCTTGATCGGTCCGGGCAGGAACGCCCTGGCCTCTTCCCGCTTCCCGCTGGAGTCTTAATTATGCCACCGGAAGGTGCCCCCTCCCCTCCTCTCTGCACCCCCATATGGTGACGTCACCGGAGCTCGTCAAAGCGGCTCCGCTGTTTCCTCCCGAGGCCACGGCTGAACCCTTCCACACCCCGGTCCTGGCGCACAGAGCTCATCACATGTGTGCTGAGTGATCGACACAAAGGAACCCACGGGAATCCTATGCGGGTGGGAGTGGAGATCATTTTCGTGGGAGACATAACAGGGCGCATCAGGTTCTCATCATGGTGACTCTCTGGTTCAGGCACCCCAGCCCCTAACTGCTGCCCCCGGGGGCGCTAAAGCTGAATTCTTGGTCTGATATTCAAGTGCATCCCTGGCGTGACCCCCCACCCCCAGCCGCACTTCCGCCCCCACTCTGAGTCGCTGTGCTCGGGGCACACTGGGTGCCTGCTCTGTGTTGTCTAACTCGTGCTTCTCTCTCTCTGATGTTCATTCCGCTTCCCTTTCCCCAGATGTTCTCCAAACCCTCTGCTTGTAATTCCCAGTAGGGAAACTCAGTAGGTATTTATTGCCTGGCTGTAACTTAGGACATCCTGGCGGGATGCCCTCTGGGTGTCGCCAGGCTCAGGTGTGCAAGGGACATCGCTGAGAATCTGGACGAGGTAACAGACTGATCCTCAGGGCCAGCCCCACACAGGAGGAAGGAGAAGTTGACCTCAAGTCCAGGGTGGGGCCCAGAAGCTCATCGGACATGGAGTCCCCGCAAAGTCAGGTCCAACCTGCCTGCCTTCCGAGGTTTTCCACGCACCATCCACATGACCTCAGGCGCATTGGACAACCTCACTGGCCGCCGTTTGCTTATCTGGGAAATGGTATTTACATCTCCAGGATTGGTTGGGAAGATGATATAAGATAGTCATTATTATTATTTAACGCTTCATGGATCTTATAAGCACTCTATTGTTCAACTATCTGGACAACTTACATAAGGTATATGGTGATCTTGTGATTCCCATTTTAGAGATGAAGAAAGTGAGGAGCAGAGGGTTTCCCAAAGATCACCCGTGGTTCCTGACACGTAGTAAAGGGCTCAAAAAGTTTTCCTACAAATAAGCACCTCACCAGGGGCTGTTTTTTGCAGAGTTTGTGAAGATGATGTCTCGCTGAAGAGGTTCTGGAAGCCCCCGGTCCTCCCCACCTGGCCAGCATGGACCAAGCCCTTGTGGAAGACCAGATCCCCTCAGACCCGTCCAGGAGGGAGGGTGGGAGGTGTGTGACTGGCCTCGCGTTGTGTGAGCCGAGGCTGGACCGAAAGTGATGGCTCTGCCTGGATGGTGGGTGGGGTGAGGGGGTACCCCTCTAGAATGAGATTAAGGAGAGTCTATGGTATGGAAATAAGATCAGGACCAAGGTCAGCGCCACGCCCCCCTCCCGCCGTTAATGACGTCTTCTGACTTCACGTAACCCCCAATGCCTGTGACCCAGCAGTCTCCTCCCTGGTGTCCTCTTGGGTCAGACTCAAAAAGTTCAGCCCCTGGTCCACCCTTCCCCCTTCTTGCGTCAACTAGTTCAGATTTCCTGTTTCTTTCCATCATCGGTAAGAGGGAAGCATGCCAATCTGGGGGCTACAAACACCGTTCCTGAGAAGACCGGGCTTAGAAATGGTTCATTAAAGAGGCTTCCAAAGTGAGCTTAGCCCGTTTTCTTGATTTCCTGGAAGCACAGTCTGGTTGGGTTTTTTTTTTTCCCCCTCCTGCCTCCTACTTCCTTTTCCTTGTGTAAAATACTCAGGCCACTGAATTAAACCGTAAATCTGGATTACCGAAGTTTAGGGCAAGCTGATCCCCCCGGGGGAATTAATCCCATCTCGAAATGTCATCGTGCGAAAGACAGAGAGGATGGGGAAGTCTCAAATCCTCAGCTCAGCCAGATGGTGTGGAAACCATTCCTGGAAGCAGGCTGCCCCGGGCGCTCAGGGAGATTGCCTCCTTAGGTGGAGGATCGGGCCAGCCCTCACACCCTGACGTGGACCTGCACTCTGAAGCCAGAGGGTCATTTCCTCCTCACCCCTGCACAGGCAGGACACCCCAGTAACGCCAGGTCCCCAAAGTACAGGATTCATGTCATGCCTTCCACCATTTACTTCACTTTTGAAACCCACTAAGTAGGTGTGTGCAGTGAGTCATCTGGGCTCAAGAGCCTCACTTTATAAAATTAAATTTTAAATTTAAGAGTGGAAGCAGAATAATGTATTTCCTAACCTCTGACTTAGCCACTTGTTTTTTGCCCTTCCTCTTTTCCTGCCTTCCTCCCTTCCTCTCCCTCCCTCCCTCCCTCCTTCCTTCCCCCTCTCTTCCTCCTTCCCTCTCCCTCCCTTTCTCCTCCCTTCTCTCTCCCTTCCTCCCTATATTCCTTCCTCCCTCCCACCCCCTCCCTTCCCCCTATATTTCTTCCTTCCTCCCTCGTTCCCTCCCTCCCTTCCTCTCCCCCCTCCTCCCTATATTTCTGCATTCCTTCTTCCCTCCCTCCCTCTCCCTACCTCCCTTCTCTCTTCCTTCCCTTCTCGCACTTCATTTATTCAATAGCGATGTATGAAGTGCTTGGTGACTATGAGGCCCTGTTCCAAGAATAGCTCTATTTCGGTGAATGAAATACACCGATCCCCGCCTGCCACCCCCCAGGAGCTTACATTATAAAGGGAAGAGACAGACACAGAACAAAATACATGAGTGAATATAATCCTAGTTAGAATGGTAGAAGATGGAAAGAGATATGGAGAAAAATGGAGCAGGAGAGTGGTTTAGAGGGTCTGGAAATGAGGAGGAGCTGTCAGTCCCTGTAGGGGCAGGGAGTCTACTGACCACCAGGGGCATTTCGAGGGGAAGAGCACTTCAAATGCAGTGTTGGGTGAATGCAAAGGCCCTGAGGCAGGAATGTAGCTGGCCTGTTGGAGGAATAGCAAGAGGTCATGGCGGCTGGAGGTGGGTAGGTGGTAAGGCATCAGAGTGGGTCAGAGGTTAAACCATGTTCTTAGAGGCCAGTTTGAGGACCTTGGAGGGTTTTAAACAGAGGAATGACATAATCCAATCACCTTTTAAAACATGGCTTCTGCCTCCTGTCTTAGCTCCATCCCCTGCCATCCATACACCTGTCCATCCCACTCACGTATTCAAGGTGATATTTGTTGAGCCCCTGCTATATGCCTGGCATTGTCCCAGGTGACGGAAATACAGCAATGGAAAGCTACCTGACTTCAAGAAGCTTGTATCCTAGGGGGCGCCTGGGTGGCTTGGTCGGTTGAGCGTCCGACTTTCGCTTAGGTCATGATCTCGCGGCTCGTGGGTTCGGGCCCCGCGTCGGGCTCTGTGCTGACTGCCGGCTCAGAGCCTGGAGCCTATTTCGGAGTCTGTGTCTCCCTCTCTCTCTGACCCTCCCCTGTTCACGCTGTCTCTCTCTCTCTCTCCTAGAAATAAATAAAAATATTAAAAAAAAAAAAAGAAGCTTGTATCCTAGAGTCACACAATCTCTCGGGATCTTCCATGATGATAGAATGTTCTAGGTCTGCACTGTCCATTCTGGGAGCCACTTGCCACATGTGGCTATTAAGTTTTAAATGTGGTGAGTGAAGCTGAGAAACTGAATTTTATTTTTATTTTATTAAGTTAACTATTTTTAAACAATGATTTTATGAATTACATGAGTTATATTTATCATTTACATTCCCCATGTGGCTAGTGGCTACTGTATTCAACAGCACATGTTCATGCTATATGCCTGGGGTTATTCTAGGTCCTGGAGACAGCCCAACAGTGAGGTCTCGGCTTTCTGGGAGCTCATATTCAAGTGGGAGGGGAGAAGAAAAAACAATAATCACAGAAGAGCAGCTCAGGACCAGAGATGATACTTCACAGAAGATAAAGTGGGGAGGTTAGATACCCAGAGGGCCCCAGTGGGGGAGGCAAGGGTGGTTTGATTAGCTAGTATGCATCAGAAAGGGCCTTTCTTTTTTTTTTCTGAGTAGTCTCTCTCCCAACATGGGGTTTGAACTCATGGCCGCAAGATCAAGTATCACATGCTCTACCAACCAAGCCAGCCAGGCACCCCCAGAAATGACATTTCTTAATGATGGGCTGTCTCAGGTTGGGCTCCCAGCATCCCTCCTCTGTCAGAGTATGCACAAGGTTTATCAAGGAGTGTCCTTAGGATTGATACCTGGGGAGGGAACTGAAATGCAAGCTCACGCATCACAGCTGAACTCACAGAGCTCCTGACCTAGCTCTTCTGACTTTTCTCCCTGGAGCTGAACTGGCCAAACCTTGAAACCTGGCCTCAGTCAGCGCTTGCATACAGGCTGCCCTGGGAAGGGCATGACCTTGGGCAAGGATGGCCACTCCATAGCCAAGGACATCCTTTATTTGGGGCTGATGGCTGAAGGCTCCCTGCAGACAGCACTGGCCAGGGCTGGGCAAAGTCCTCTGCAGAAGGGCGGTCGGTGGTCACATTTCCATCTCCACCACTGAGCGGCTCTGCAGAGACCAGCCAGGGGAAGGGGATTCCGCACAAGCAAGGTACAGAGGCTGGAGTCAGTGTGGTGACTTCAAGAACAGGGCAGTGGCTGGAGTATACTGAGCAAGGGGGCAGAGGTAGAAAGTTTGTGAGGGAAGGGAAGTATGTCCGTCTGTCTCTGAAAGCTTGTGTGGCCTCTGGGTGTCGGAGAGTCAGGTTTCCTGTGGCCCGTTTATACGCGGTTAAGAAGGGATGGATCATATGGTTGCCCTTGATCAACAGTGGAAAAGATCTACCATGTGATCTTCAGGCTTCTCGAATGTCTCTGCAGCCTCATTTCAGACAATCAGATTGGTACTCAATGAGGCTGAATGGTTAAAATCTAGTCCTGAGGTTTGCAGGCAGTATGTGCTCAGAGGGTTTTATGAAAGAGGGGGAGGAGGAGGGATAGGGGAAAGAGGAGGGGAGCAGAACAATAAAAACACAAGGATACATTTGGGCTCCCAAGGAAACAGACTCTGTAATCAATTACTCATGTCTGCCACGAACATGGGGAAGCAATAGTTGAGGTAGTTTTGCAATGAATTTTCTATTTAAAATTTTTAGTGTTTATTTATTTTTGAGGGAGAGACAGAGTGTGAATGGGGGAGGGCAGAGAGAGAGGGAGACACAGAATCCAAAGCAGGGTCCAGGCTCTGAGCTCTCAGCACAGAGCCTTACGCGGGCTCCAACTCACAGACCATGAGATCATGACGTGAGCTGAAGTCAGACGTTCAACCGACTGAGCCACCCAGGTGCCCCCTTGCAATGAATTTTCTACCCTCTGTTTACTTACTGAGTTATTTAGTAATGATTTAATAAGTACCTACAAATGCTCCACCCAAGTCTATAGTTTCCAGGAAAGAGATAGCAGGCTACAGTTCCTTCCAAGGGGCCCCTGGGCTGAGAATCTGACTTCCTACCAGGAGATTCACAATGCATTCCATGCATTCCAGGTCCCTCTCCAATCCCATTCCAGGAAGCACAAAGGGCAGCACCTCCCCCCCCAGGGTGAGGGGTTAACCATGGGCTCCTTTATTGGCATTTAGGCCGCATCTCTCCACTCTGTTCTTCATGCAGGACCAAGTAATTAAGCAAAATGGTGGACAAGGTATTTCTAAAGGGGATTAATTAAGCTTGAAAGGAAGAGACGAAGCAGGTTCCACACTTGGTATGTCTGTCTTCCTCTGAAGATGTTTCTCCTCCCCTTGAAAATAGAATCAAAAGCCAGCATTCAGGTGACGAGGGTGCACGGACTCAAAATGTGATGTGGATATGAAAGTATTGTGTTGATTTCTAAGACTGAGTCAGAAGATGAAGTGGCTGAGCCAAGAGTGGTTAGACCTATGCCTGCCCCTCACCTGGCTCATGGCAGCCAGTAAGCCAGGGAGCCCTGAGCACCGTAGCCTTACCTCTAGTATAATAGGTTTGCTGGAAGAAAGACCTGAAGAAGAGAGTTGTGCTCTGGTGGACACAGGAGTCAGAGGCTGGGCACTAAGAATGTTTGTTCTTCATTCTAGTCACAACCTGGGAATGACTTGTGGGTGTTTTTTAATATCCACCCTGTTAAAATGGTACCCAGAGCCCCAGACCCACTCCTTTGCCTCTCTTCTATTCCAGGAAGAGGATTTTGATGGTCAAGGCAAAACTCAGGGGGAATCATTAAGTTTGATGTTATCCACAAGCCACATGCATTGAAAGGGCAAATATTGCCAGAAACACACCAGAACTGTCCATATATATGATGAAAGAGCTTCTGTTTGTGCTTCAATCCCATAACTCCTGAATGACTAGGTCAGTGGACCCATGCAGGGGGTCTGGGGAGAACACTGAAGCCACAGGAAAAGACTGGAAGGGAGAGAGAAGTTGGCCCTGTGGAGAGAGTTGAGGACTTCCGTTTGGAGGTGGGGGAGGGACCTACACAATGAAGAAGAGAACTGAAGCTTTTCCTCTGTTGGCTACTCAGTGATTGGGGTAGCAAGTCAATTAACTGGCGCCATGGCTTTTGGGGCCCAGAGAAGCCCTGATCATCTCCTTTCAAGGTCATCTTTCCTTCTCACGCTCCGGTTTGAGAAATTCCATTCTCCTGGCTTGCACACCCAAAGTGTTCCTAGATCTAACACTTGACATGACACCTTTCTGGGTCTGAAAGAATTCATCCACCTTTTTCTAATTTGGGAAGCTATCCCATTCCTTCCCCCACCCCCACCTCACCTCATCTCTGGGGCAGGGAGCTCACCTTGCTGGCAACCTCAGTGGATCATGCTGGAAGGGACGGATGTCACCTTCACAGCGGCATTGCCTCAGGTGTGCGATGCCCCTCACCTTTGCATCAGCAGTACACCCAGGTGTGGTCCCGGTCATAGTTGTAAGAGGTTGCGCACCACGTAAGGTTCTGCTTTGATCCTTTGCTGGTACAATTAAAATAATTCTTGTTTTTGTAGCTGAATGGGAAGTGGCAGGGAAAGCCAGGAACCAGTGAGGAAACTCCTAGGGAGAAGAAGGGGATAGGAAAGTGGTTTACCCCCGTGCCTTTATGCTGTGGTGAAGGCTTAGGCTTCAGAGCCCCTTCTAAAATCAAAACAGGATCAGGGGCACCTGGGTGGCTCAGTCAGTTAAGTGTCTGACTTTGGCTCAGGTCATGATCTCACAGTTCGCAGGTTCAAGCCTTGTGTCGGGCTCTAAGCTACCAGCTCAGAGCCTGGAGCCTGCTTCTGATTCTGTGTCTCCCTCTCTCTCTCTGCCCTTCCCCCACTTTTGCTCTCTCTCTCTCCACTCTTTCTCTCTCTCAAAAATAAATAAATACTTAAAGTTTAAAATCAGGGGAGCCTGGGTGGCTCAGTCAGTTGAGTGTCCAACTTCAGCTCAGGTCATGATTTCACAGTTCATGGGTTCGAACCCCGTGTCGGGCTCTGTGCTGACAGCTCAGAGCCTGGAGTCTGCTTCAGATTCGGTGTCTCCCTCTCTCTCTGACCCTTCCCTGGTCACGCTGTCTCTCTCTCTCTCAGTAATAGATTAAAAAAAAAACATTAAAAAAACTTTAAAATCAAAAGTGGGTCTACATTGCCCATGGCTGTGGTGTTTGGGCACTGCTCAGAGACTCCCATTAGAGGAAGGAAATACTGACCTAATCCTAATTGCCAGAGGGATTTTCCTCCCTGGGAAGCTATTTGAGTTTAGCTCACTGGGGTGTGGAAGGGGGAAACAGAGTGACTGCATAGGGGTCCTGGCAGTGGGAGAGAGGAGAGTAGAGTTATGTCAGCGGGGGAGCAAAGTAGGCAAGTGGGAAGTGTGGACAGGACATATTACAGGGGTCCTCTCCATTCACAGATCCTGAATGTGCCCGTTTGCCACTCGCTGAAATGTATTTGGGCACCAAATCAATACTGGCCAGGCTTCTGCGGTCATGTGTGGACGTGAAGCACCCTCGTCCCTAGCTGAAGCCCAGCAAGGCTGTGCCCTGACTTAGCTATGCAGCCTCTGAGCTGTAGACAAGGGTTGAAAACGCCCGGAGTGGAGAGCTGAAGAGCTGTCCAGGGTCCTGAAGCGCAGGCAGGTCTGGGATGTGCCTTACAGGGAGCGATCATGTTCTATTTGCAGAGAAATGTTCTATTTTCCTTCCTCGCAGGCTTGTTCCCTGATCACCCACCAAATCTACATTTGTTCTCCTTTGTTAACAAAATTATCCAAAACATGTAATGGGGGCCAAAAGATCGCTGCCTGACCTATGTCCTCCTAGAGCATTGTCTAAACAGTCCCAAGTGCCATCTGATTTTCTAGTTCAGTGTTGGCCGACGCTTTCTAGAAAGGGCCAGATGGTAGCTATTTTTAGCTTCGTGCCTCATACAACCTCTGTCTTTATATATGGGCCCTGGGATTTGAATTTCATATAATTCTTGCCCATCACAAAATATGATCCTTCTTTGGACTTTTTCCAACTGTGTAAAAATGGAAAAACAATTCTTAGCTTGAGAGCCAAAAGAAACAATGGCCAAGATTTAGCTCATAGGCAGGATGGAGTTTGCAGACCCCTGCTTTAAGGAAATAGAACTTTATCCAACTTACTAGCTGCTATTGATTGGAGCCCCCACTCTAACTTGTAAAAGATAATATGTTGTGGATGATTTTTGTTTGGTAAAGATGCCAATAATTTCTGCCTGGTGGACAAGATAACCCCAAAGGTTTGAGTGTCCTTTATGTTATTTTATTTTTATTTATGTATCTATATATTTATGTATGTATATATTTAAGTAGGCTCCACATCCAACATGGGGCTCAAACTCACGACCCTGAGATCAAGAGTCGGATTCTCCACCAACTGAGGCAGCCAGGCATCCTTGAGTGCCCTTTCGATGTTAACAGATTATGTGGCTAATTTAACAATCTTGCTTCAGCTCAGCATTCTTTTCTCTGACTATTTAGTTCTTAAAACGTCCCTCAGATTGGCTTCACTATCCTTGTTATTCCCTTATTAAGAATTTTTTAATCTTAGTATGGATTTACTCTATGTTTGTGCAAGCATGTATTTAGGTGTTTCACATTTTGAAAATCTTACACTGATCCCTTTCTCTTGAATCTCATGCAGCCCGTATTTTTGCCCATCACGCTGTCGTATTGTTTATGTTATTTGCTCATCAGATATCCATGAAGATGGGACTCCATCTTACTCATCACCATATGCCCACCGCCCAGCAGAGTTGCTGGCACACAGTAGGGCTGGAGTAGGTGTTTGTTGGGTAATTGAGTGAAGGAGTCCACCCGTGTCCACCCAGCCCCCTTCCCCAGATTACTAGTGTCGGCACAGAGGCTCCACTTCCCATCCTCATCCATGTTCTCCGTGGTTGGGCACCAGGGCCTGTTGCTTTCATTCTCAATGCATTCAAAGATCACGCTATTTCTGTAGATGGAGGGGAAGATGCAGGGCTTGCTGAAAGAATTTCCCCCATACTCTGAAAATAATCATGGAAAGGTCACAGGGACAAGAAGAGACAACGAAAAGAGCTTCCAACTAGGCGCCATGCTTTATCTCATGAAAGCCAACGTGACATTGAACATGCTCCAGTTCAGTTCCTGGTCATGTTATTATTTCCACTTTGTGTGTGTAACTGAGAACCCAAACCATCACCAACCACATCATTTACTGTCTAGCTGAACAGAGTTATGCCACAGGCTTCATCAACAGAGTTATCGTGAGATCTAAGGGTAAAGTTGGTTTAGGGTTAAGGATACAAGTGATGGATGGCTATGACAAAGATGAAAATAAAGGCTTTATATGGCATTTGGATTTTTTTAGTGCTAAGGGAGGAACATAATTAAGACTTTATGCAAGAATAGGTGTGCTCATGGAGAGGTCCCCCATGTGAATCTTCATCTTGATGGAGGCAACACTGCTTGGTGAGGAATCATGGGCATCAGAGCCATATGGACTTGAATTCAAATCCTAACTCTGACATCAACTAGAAGTGTGACCTTGGGCAGGATTTAATTTTATTGTGACCATTTATTGAATGTGGAAAAAATAGCTCACAGCTTCAATGGAAAGATTCAATGGGATGTTGTATATAGAGGTCTTGGATCAGAGTCTAACACAGAGAGCACTCCAGAATGAATGCAGGTCATTGAGAACTTAAGAGTGTGGGTGCCTGGATGGCTCAGTCAGTTATGCATCTGACTCTTAATTTCAGCTCAGGTCATGATCTCACAGTTCATGGGATTCAGCGCTGCACTGAGCTCTGCACTGATAGCATGGAGTCTGCTTGGGATTCTCTCTCTCCTATCTCTATGCCCCTCCCACACTCACGCTCATTCTCTCTCAAAATAAACATTTTAAAAAAGAGTAAGTTAAGGGGAACCTGTGCTGGCAGCTCAGAGCTTGGAGCCTGCTTTGGATTCTATATCTCTCTGTCTTTCTGCCCCTCCCCTGCTCATACACTCTCTCTTTCTCAAAAATAAATAAACATTAAAAAATTAAAAAAGAATAAGAGTAGGTATAGATGAAATCTAAGCGGCTTTGAAATGCAGGTAGAGTCCAGCACTGGGTGAATCCACGTATTGCCACCTCTAGTAACAGAAATAGTTGAAAACCAATGTCAGGACTATAGCCCATGGTTTTGGTTCTGGACCACTAGCTTTTCCACACTGACACTGGGGACTTGGGGAAACATGGCCTTAGGACATTCCTGTCTCCTGTGGTTGTCCTAACGTACTCTCTGAGAACATGCTTGCTTCCTAGAAGAATTGCTCTCATTCCTCTGCTCTCCCCTGTGCCACCATCCCCTCAGGATGGCCATTGCTGTCCCCCACCCACCTCTGTACCAAAAAACCCATCCCTGCTCCAGTGCCTTACCATTCATTTCACAGTATTTCCACTGCTGCTTCTCATCAAAGCTGGAGGTGACGGAACACCACAGCTTTCTGAAGAAACTACCCTCTGTGATGCAGCTGTTATGGGACCTTCCTCGATAGATGAAAGGGAAGATGCACCGTGGGTAATCTGTAGGGAAAGGAACCCATGAGTGGTTTGACTTTCTTTAGTCATTCAATCATCCATCCATCCATCCATTTGTCAACCACCAAAGTACAGGACAAGCATAAAAAAAAAAAGTCTGTTTCTACTTTTTGGATTCAATTTCAACCAGTAGATTCTGATTTGCATCATTTGAACTAGAGCAATATGCAATATTTTCAACTACAGGAGGTATTCCTTCCAAGTCCCCCCCCCCCCCGGTGTAATGGGACTTCTTTGTAGTCATTTTTAGCTCTTATAATCAAAGAGATATCACTTGGGGCTACCAGCCTCTGGTCATCTTTTAAGATCTTTTTAGGTTAGTCATGATCATGTGTGCTTTTTATTATCAACTTACTTTGCTTTATTTCTGTCTTATATTGCAGTTAAGGAATTGTGCTGATTTACTTTGAAATTATAAATTTGGGATAAATAATGTCATCTATAAATTTTATTTCAGGATTGTAAAATGAGGGGCACCTGGGTGGCTCAGTTGGTTAAGCGTCTGAATTCAGCTCAGGCCATGATCTCACGGTTTGTGAGTTCAAGCCCTGCGTTGGGCTCTGTGCTGACAGCTCAGAACCTGGAGCCTGTTTCAGATTCTGGGTCTCCCTCTCTCTCTGCCCCTCCCCCCACTCATGCTCTATCTCTCTCAAAAGTAAAGAATCATTTTTTAAAAAGTGAAGTGGTTGTTATATTTATTATCAAAGGGAGCCTTTGATCTAAAAGAGTCAAGAATAATGATACAAGGGAAAAATAAATCCTAAATATTCAAAAGCTGGCTACTTGTAGGAACAATTAAAATGTCCCAACAATAGGATATTGGTTAAAACAAAATGCCTTTTGTCCTGTGCACAAAAAAATAGAAATCATCTAATTGTCCAAAATGTCTTGGGCTTCAAGTAAACAGAGTCTGTCAAATCCCTTCTCTGCTTTGTTTTCTTGTTTTTCTTTATCAATTTAGAAAATTAAGAAAGGGACAAGATTACAGTGGTTCCCTCTGGTCTCGCAACCTTACAGGACCTTCATGCAGAAAGCACCATTTTTAACACGATCATTGTTACCATTATTAGCCATTATCAGCCTCAGCATTTTCTATGCACACACGTATATCGTAACTCATCTTCAAAAATAGGATCACATCATCCACAGCCACACATTCTCTTGTGTAATCCATCATTTGAGGAGGTCGGCTGAGGGAACAGCCTGGCACCACTCACCGTCCGCCATGCAGTACTTCCACTGCTGATCGTAAACAGCTTTCGTTGAACACCAAGGGGAGAGGCTATTTCTTCTGATGCAAGAGAAGTAAGTAGACCCCTTGTAGATGAAAGGAAAGACACATGAATCCTTCTGACCTGGAGGACAGAGAGACAAAACAGGGGGGCTACATCACCATGAATGAGCCAAGGATGAGTCTTGGTTTGGTCCTTGTGGGAGGTCTGAAGGCGACACAGCCAGTCTTAGCATCCAACTTTCTGGTGACAAAAAAGGGTGTGTCCAGTTTATGTTGAGACCAAAAGGACAGAGAAAGAGTCTCATAAATCATAAAAGCATCAAGTTTTCCTCCAGACCATTAGAGTACCGTCATTGTCACCCAGGCATTCTTGGGTCATTATATCACAGTAGGTAATGGAGGGACACACATCAAATAATGCGGAAACACAGACTGAAAAACAATTTCACTCTCCTTTTTAAAAAATTTTTAATGTTTATTGATTTTTGAGAGACAGAGTGCAAGCAGGAAAGGGGCAGAGAGAGAGGGAGACACAGAATCTGAAGCAGGCTCCGGGCTCTGAGCTGTCAGCACAGAGCCCAACACGGGGCTTGAACTCACAAGCTGTGAGATCAAGATCTAAGCCGAAGTCGGACGCTTAATGGACTGAGCCACCCAGGTGCCCCCAATTTCACTTTTCAATGCTTTTTCAATCCTTCTGATTACACAAAAGAGAAAGCTTCAATATAATGCTAGTGTTTCTCTACCATACCTCTAATTCTTAATCTCCTTTTTAACAACAACAACAACAACAACAACAACAAAAAAGCAGGACTCAGGCTCAAAGCCTTACTGTAACATCCAGTAGAATTTAGTAATAAGATTTTCTTTTCATCACATTTTTTTCTGTTTGCCATTTCTATTTATGGCAAGTTAGTAGCACTTACAGATTACAGATCTGATGTTAACTACTCTTTAAAGATATGCTGTTAAGGGGCACCTGGGTGGCTCAGTCGGTTAAGCGCCTGACTTTGCTCAGGTCATGATCTCACAGTTTGTGAGTTTAAGCCCCATGTCGGGCTCTGTGCTCACAGCCTGGAGCCTGCTTCAAGTTCTGTGTTTCCCTTTCTCTGTCTCTTTTTTTTTTTTTAATATTTTTATTTATTTCTAGGAGAGAGAGACAGCATGAGCAGGGGAGGATCAGAGAGAGAGGGAGACACAGACTCCGAAACAGCCTCCAGGCTCTGAGCTGGCAGTCAGCACAGAGCCCGACGCGGGGCTCGAACCCACGAACCGCGAGATCAAGACCTAAGCGAAAGTCAGACGCTTAACCGACTAAGCCACCCAGGCGCCCCTCCCTTTCTCTCTCTACCCCTCACCTGCTCACACTCTGTCTCTCACTCAAAAATAAATAAACATTAAAGAAATTTTAAGATAAGAGTGTTAAAGTGAAGACAAGTGAGCACATTTCAAGAAGATGGTTAGGTAAATGATAATGCTGGTGGTGTGCAGATGTGGCAAATACTGAGGGGTATTTTTGTATTCCTCTGTGTGAGGACAGGGACCTCCTCTTTGACACAATGTATCCTCAACAACTAGAATCATGACTTACTCATAGTAGATGCTTCAGAAAGAACTGACAGAATGAAATGAGTTCGGAAAATGCCACAGGAAGGAAAGCTAAACATGTTTCTTTGATGAAGGGCTCACCAGAAGGGTCAGTATGCAAATGAGTATTGAATTAGCAGGAGGCATATGGAGTATATTGAATTGTCCTTTCCCCCCATTCCTCGATAGTGTTGGAGACTAATGGTCCCTGAAACACATCTTAAAAAATGTTATTCTACGGGTGCCTGGGTGGCTCAGTCAGTTATGCATCAGACTTCGGTTCAGGTCATGATCTCTCAGTTTGTGAGTTCAAGGCCCACATCAGGCTCCTCACTGACAGTGTGGAGCCTGCTCAAGATTCTCTCTCTCTCTCTCTCTCTCTCTCTCTTTCTCTCTCCCTTTCTCTCTGCCCCTCCCCCACTCTCTGTCTCAAAGTAAATAAATAAACTTTTTTAAAAAAGAAAAAGAAGGGGCGCCTGGGTGGCTTAGTCGGTTGGGCATCCGACTTTCGCTTAGGTCATGATCTCGCGGTTCGTGGGTTCGAGCCCCGCGTCGGGCTCTGTGCTGACTGCCAGCTCAGAGCCTGGAGCCTGTTTCAGAGTCTGTCGCTCCCTCTCTCTCTGACCCTCCCCTGCTCACACGCTCTCTCTCTCCTAGAAATAAATAAAACATTAAAAAAAAAAAGAAAAAGAAAAAGAAATGCTACTCTAGCCCACGTTGCAGAGGAGAAAGTGCATGCAAGATAGAGAATCATTTCAACTTAATACCTTTTTTTCTTTTTTGAGCAGAACTGGGATGAGAACTAACATTTTTTTAAATCTATGGGCCCAGGATCACAGCTTTTCTTCCTGCCTTCACCTTGCCATTCCCTCCTTCCCTCCCTTTCTCCCTTCCTCAGAGACTTAATGATGAATACTATGACTAAGATATTCTGATGGGTTATTGATGTGCATGCATACACGTGTGAGCATGTGTGTTTGTGTGTGTGTGTGTGTGCTCATGTTCCAAAGGTGGTGAGGCAAAGCTTTTGTGGACTCACTAAACCTACCCTCTTTTTTCTTTCTGGGCTCATAGCGAGAACCCATTTTTCAGCCTCTCTAATAGTTTGGGGCCACATGACTCTGTTGCAACTCACGGAATGTAGGTAGAAGTGATTTGCACCATTTCCTCCCTCAGAAAAGTCCCCAGCTGGACACAGAGCAGTGGTTCTCAGTGGAGGAGACACTAGACAATGTTTGGAGACATTTTGGGTTGTGACAACTGGGAGGAGGGGGAACTGGCAGCTGCACTGCTGGTATCTACTGGGTCAAGGCTGGAGATGTTGCTAAACACCTTACCATGAGCACGTTCCAGAACCAGATCATCCAGTCCCAAATGTCAACAGTATCTGGTTTCCGAAACTCTGATAAAGAGGACCCTGCAGAGAATACTGAGGCCCCACAGGGTGGTGGAGAACCAATATGGAAGGGGTCTGTGTCTCTGAATCACAATACAAGTGGCTTCCCACCAAACGTCCACACTGAAGAGCTGTATGACATGAACTCTACTGAATTCAGCCACTGGTATTTGGGGATAGTCAGTCCATTACTAATACAGAAGAACAAGGCATCATCTCTGTCTTCAACCTGGTAGTAGCTCTGTCTATTGTTCCGGATCAGATTCTTACCCTGTATACTCTGACCTGGGCCATCACAGGGTCAGGAGAGAATGGAAAAGGCAGACCGCCATCTTTGAGCTTCGCCAATGGGCTGATGCCAGCAGAGCTCCTTAAGTCGCATTGTGTTGTCCATCTCTGGGTCTTAGAACCCTGTGGTCTTGGTTGAAGACCAAGTTGAAACCGGTTAATGTCGGAAAAGTGTTTAGAAGAGGACCCGGGGCATGACTGCTCCTCGACAAATGTTAGCTGTCATCACCATCATCACCAACACCATCATCATCGTCATCAATAATGCTCAGTCATGGGCACTACCAGTATGTGTGATCTGGTGGTGATGGAAGGGCAGGCAGATGTCCCTGTGCACAGGACTAAGATTATCCTTGGGACTTGTTAGTACAAACCAACACATAATAGAAACTATTAGCCATCTGCAAAGTAATCCAGCAGATGGTCTGATCTTCTTAACTGGGTTAAAATCCTCCATAAGCCGGGCCCTACTGACCTCTCTGTTCTCACTGCCTGATTAACATTTCCTCGACCTTCCTCAATGTTCTTTCTCATCTTTGGCGTTTGACTCATGCCCTTCACCCTGCTCTTTTCTTTGTCCCTTGCTTTACTCCCTGCTTTTCATCCATATGACTTGCTTCAGCCTGGATTAACACTCTTTCATATTCTTATACTATTTTGAAATGATCTCTATAAATGTACTTACCAAATATTAAAGAATATAATTTGCTGTGAGCATATTGCTATGTTTCTGGCCCATAGCATGGTCTCTGGCATTTGGGAACCAGTCAGCAAATGTGTATTGACTAAATTAGTCCATAAATATGTGCAGAGGAGGTATACCAAGTTTCACCACAGGAATGTGGGTGTAGTCTCAGGAAGGTATGGCCAGAATGAGACACTAACTGGAAAAGCTGGCATTGTTCCCTGTCTGAATAAACTGTGGGTTCTTAGCCTTTTCAGGACTTGTCAGCTCTTTTGAAAACCCAGGTCTTCTCTCCAGGAAAATGCTCATACATCCCTGTGGCAGAGACTGCTGTGTACTCAAAGTCAGCTTCATCTTCCTCCCAAAGGTACTGCTAAAAACTACATTTCCCAGATCCCCTTGCAGCTAAGCATCCTGTGAGTTCTGGCCAACGGAAGTGGGAGAAAGTGATAGATATCACTTCCCGGCCAAAACAAAAAACAAAACAAAACAAAACAAAAACTCTCCTTCAAGATCATCAGACTCTTGATCCACATCTTCCAGCTCCATGCAAAGAATCCAGAGAGGACTCTGAAGCCCTATGGGATGGTGGAGCCCCCTGGTGGAGGACGCATGGATCCCTGCTAACTAGATAAGCCCTCATTGGACTTTGTAGGAACAGGAAACAAAACACTTTGTGTTAAGCTGCTAGTAGTTTGGAGTTTGTCTGTTACAATAGCTATTCTCACTACACTGAAAAATACACACCTTTTGAAATATGGATCCAGGGTTTCACAAACTCTGTGCTAGCCCAGTGACCTGGAATACAGAATGTGGTCATTGAAAAAGGACTTCATGGGGGGCACCTAGGAGGCTCAGTTGGTTAAGCGTCCGACTTAGGCTCAGGTCAGATCTCATGGTTCATGGGTTCTGGCCCCGCATCAGGCTCTGTGCTGACAGCTCGGAGCCTGGAGCCTGTTTCAGACTCTGTGTCTTCCTCTCTCTCTGCCCCTCCCCAACTCATACTCTGTCTCTCTCTGTTTCAAAAATAAATAAACTATTAAAAAATTTAAAAAAAAAGGACTTCATAGAATCAAAGGGCATGAAAACAGGAGTGTTTCTTGAGGCTTATGGAAGGGAGGGGGCTCATCAGGCAGAAAAAAATTTTAATTGTGGAGAATGTTTCACCATAGCTTAAGTGAACTATATGTAATCAAGGTCTCTCTTTGTTCTCTCTCCATGTTTACCATATGATCTTGGGGTGGTTGATTTAGATTCATATATTCCTATACTGAGAATGTAGCCTCACATCCACTAGAATGGCTACTTTTTAAAAAGATTTTATTTTTAAGTAGTCTTTACACCCAACATGGGGCTTGAACTCACAACCTCAAGTTCAAGAGTCACAGTCTACCAACTGAGCTAACCAGGAGCCCCTACTATTTTTTTTTTAAAACAGAAAATAACAAGTGTTGACAAAGATGTAGAGAAATTAGAACCCTTGTGCACTGTTGATGGGAATATAAAATGGTGCAGTTACTTTGGAAAATAGCTTGGCAATTCCTCAAAAAAAGAAATAAATAAACATAGAATTGTCATGTGACCCAGCAATTCTACTCCTGGTGATATGCCCAAAAGAACTGAAAGCAGGTTCTCAGCGAAGTATTCTTAATACCCAGTATTTACAGCTGCATTGTTTACGATGGCCAAAAGGCAGAAACAATCCAAGTCCCATCAATGGATGAATGGATAAACAAAACATGGTATGTCCACAGTATGTATCTCACACACAGTGGAATATTTCTTCAGCCTTAAAAGGACAGGAAATTCTGACACAGGCTACAACATGGCTGAATCTTGAGGACATTATGCTAAGTGACATAAAAGTCACAAAAAGACAAGTACTGTTTGATTCCACTTTCGCAAGGTATGTAGAAAGTCAGATCATGGTGTCAGAAAGCAGGATGGTGGTTTCCAGGGGCTGGGGGAGGGGGAACTGTGCCTTGTTTAATGGGCACAGGTGATATTTCATGGCTTCTGGTGGTACCACACTGTGGATGTATTTCTACTGAACTGTACACTTGGCTGTGCACTTCAAAATGGTTAAGATGGTAAATTTTATGTTCTGTGCATTTCGCCACAATTTAAGAAAAAGAGTGTATAGGGAAGGTCCAAGTTACAGTCTGAGGACTCAATCCATTGGAATTATAGAGCCCCCCCCTTCAATGAACATATTTGCATTTCCCTACCCTGTGCTGAACAGCTTAGATGTTCGCATCCTGATTACAGCAGTCCCCTGCTTACCCACCGTCTCTCTTTCCATGGTTTCAGTTATCCGCGGTCAAGGAGGTCCAGAAGCAGATGATTCTCTATCTCCTCCCTACTTGAATCCAGGAATCTTTACTTTGGCCCATTCATTCTTTCTGGTTTCTAAATCCGCCCCATTGTTTTCTGGTATACTCACCTCCACTTGCCTCACAGGTGTAGAGGAGGAAGGTCATCCATCCCAGCAGGTAGCTGGACCATCGGTTCATCTCAACTGGTGTCTTCTTTCTGGACTGAAGGAAGACAAAAATTTTGCTCCTGCAAACCCCTTCCTCTTCCACTAACTCCCAGGTTTGGTGTCATGCATGCCATTTTACTCTTAATCCTAGAGGGCAGTGAAGAGTAACTCACTCTTACAGGAAAGAAATATATATATGTATATACTGTCATTATGGAGGGGACGGTGCGATGGAAAGGAGAGGCATAGCATTTGTTGAGCACTTACTGTATTCCAGACTAAGTGCTCAACACAATCATGCCACTTGGTTCTCACAAGTGAAATGATAACTATTTTAATCCCGTTTTACAGATGAGGAAGCTGAGGCTCAGGGAACCCAGTGATCTGCCTGAGTTGGTTACACAGCAAGGAAATGGCAGGATTCTAACCCACATAAATGGCTCCAAAGTCTCAATTCTTCTTGGGGATCTTAGCCATAGCCTTAAACCCTCCTCATGGATCACATTCATCTCTGGCTGGATATTTTTTTTTTAATATTTTTATTTATTTCTAGGAGAGAGAGAGAGAGAGAGAGAGAGAGAGAGACAGCGTGAGCAGGGGAGGGTCAGAGAGAGAGGGAGACACAGACTCTGAAACAGCCTCCAGGCTCTGAGCTGGCAGTCAGCACAGAGCCCGACGCGGGGCTCGAACCCACGAACCTCGAGATCATGACCTAAGCGAAAGTGGGACGCTTAACCGACTAAGCCACCCAGGCGCCCCTCTGGCTGGATATTAAAGTACCTTCATGATCAGCATTTACTATCCTCATCAGCCATAATTTCTATGAGCTCTATTAGCCTCTGCCATTTCCTTAACAACACATGGATGTGCCATTCTCCAGAGAAACAACAACCCCAGCTAGAATTGGTGATCTGATTTTGTCTTGAGGCTCATCTGCTATTACCACCTCTATGGCTGGCTATGAGTTATTAAGTGCCTACTGTATGCCACCTTCTAACAACCTAAGGAGAAGGTATGATTATTTTTGTTTTACAATAGAGTGAAACCACGGTTTGGGAAGTTGAGTAAGTTACCCAAACACCACGGATGGTAAGTGACAGATCTCAGGTTCAACTGTCTACACAAGTGTCATAGTTCTCAAGCTTCATAAACCACTTCCCTTCTAGGGGTCTTTGTTCCCCCACGGGCAGAGCGTCGGTTAATAATTTCTGCCTCTGGGAGAGGCTGGGAGAGTCCAGTCAGATCCTGATGTGAAAGTGTGTTTCCATTGTAAATTGTTAGTTGTACTGATGGATAATTAAGGCAATGATCAGGGCAGCTCAGGAAAGACAAACAAATCTAGATGGTGCATTGGGGGAAAGAAAACCCCAAGGCCATTGGTTAAGGTCCTCTAACAGGCAGGTGACACTGCTGAGGGCCTGGGTCTCAGAACACACTCTCTCACTTGCTTTCCTGCTACATATTGGAACGTCTTTCTGATTTCTCTTGTTATTCTTAACCACAGCACCACGCCCCAAATTTGCTTTTCCTGAGTGGTGTCTCATTCACCACCTACCTGCTCATGGTTCTCACTCTAGCTGATGGTCCAGACTCTGGAATTGGACCCACCTTTGGTTGCAGAAGCTAGCTGGTCCCAGTTGAAATCCTGACTCCACCCTTTACCACTTGGGTGACCTTGGGAAGTGACTTAAATTCTCCAAGCCTCAGCTTCATGATCTAAAAAATGGGGGTACGATTCTTACTTAGTATTTAGGCTTGTTATGGTGATTAACTGAGATCATAAACAATAATAGGTAATACTCATTGACTATTCTACACACTATTCTAAATTCATTAGCATCCTGATAGTGGCCCAATACTAGTATTACCCCCGTTACACATGTGGGGAAGTTGAGGCACAGAAAGCTTAAGCATCTTGCTGAAGATCACAAACTTCATAAGTGATGAGGCTTTTAGCTGAACCCCCACAACCTGACACTAAAGACCAGGCTCTCAGCTGCTATGGGACACTAAGCAGTAGAAAAATGTCTGCCAAAATCATCGTTCATACCAGACCCCTCCAGGCGAACTTCTGAATGTCAAGATTGTATTTTCTTTTCTTCCCCATTTTTTTTATTTTAGAAGAAAGAGACCTGGGAAGATGGGCAGAAGGAGAGAGAGAATCTTAAGCAGACTCCACGATCAGCTCAGAGACCGACTCAGCACTTAATCCCATGACCCTGGGATTATGATCTGAGCCGAGATCAAGAGTCAGATGCTCAACTGACTAAAGCACCGGGCACGCCTCAAGACTATATTTTCAATCACCTCCTGGACATGTCCATTTAGATGCCCCTCAAGGCTCTTGATATAAAGCCCAAAATATACCCCCACACACACACACAACTTAATTTAATTGCACTGTGTTTGCTATGGGCTGAATGTTCGTGTCTCCCCCAAATTCATATGTTGGAGTCCTAACCCCTGAGATGTTGGCATTAGGAGATGGGGTCTTTGGGAGTGTTTAGGTCATGAGGGTGAAACCTCATGAGTGGGATTAGTGTTCCCCCAAAGAGGCCCCTCGCCCCCTCAGCCACGTGAGGACACAGTGAGAAGGTGGTTGTCTACCAGGAAGTGGGTTTTTACCTGACACTGAATCTGCAGGTACCAAAGTCTTGGACTTCCCAGACTTCAGAACCACGAGCGACAAATGCTAAGACAATACTCTTCCCCGTCCCCCAAGTTGTCATCATCCCCAGAGTAAAGCTTTCTCTTCCCTAGTGTCCTATCAGCCATCAAACCCATGGCTTCTCCTTCCTGACTGGGTCGTGAACCCATCACCTTCTCTCTGTCTCTCTTGATCCTGCAAACTCAGACTTTCACCTTCTGTCCCCCAAATGGCTGTCGCATTCCGTCACAGATGTCCTGGCCTCCAGGCTATCCCCTGTCCTGTCCACAGGGGTCTTGGTGCTCGCTTTCAAGCATTCATTCCAACACAAATATTAATTGACCCCGAACAATGCATAGGCTGCAGGGCTAGGGGAGGAGAGACATCAGAATGTGAGCCAGACCTTGCCCCTGCCTTCATGGGGCCGGCTGCCTGCGAAGGAGACAGACAGGAAAGGAAGGAACCAGAGACAAGCATGGAACTCTTGCTCGTGTTTCGTGGCGACAAAGAAGGACCGAGGCTGTAGACAAAGAATAACTGGGGCAAGGTGACGTCTGGTTAGGAGGCCAGGAAGGCTCTTCCAAGAAAATGACATGTAAACAGACCTCCAGAAAGAGTGGGATGTAGACTTGAGGGAACCCAGAGGAGGGGGGGGTGGCTCATCTGGGCAGGAGAGCTAAGATGGGAGGAAGAGCCAGATGTGTTTAAGGAGCAACCGGAACAGGTGTGAGCAGGGAGGAGTGAGGACCCCAAGGTACTTAATGAGGCAAACAGAGCTCAACCCTACAGAGCCTTCCTTAGATTCGAAATGCAAATGGAAGCCACTGGAGAGATCAAAGTGGGCACAAGTGGCATCCATGAATTCACACACAATTCTCCATCACTGTTATAATACAATCCACAGTCTATACCATGGCCTTCCCCTCAAAGCTCATTGCTTGTCACTCTGTTCTCTCTTGATCTTCCCCAGCTACACTAGGCTTGTCACTGTTTTCAGCACAGGCAGAGCTTACTAACACCTCAGGGCCTTTGCACTTGTTCTTCCCTTCACCTGGATGCTTCTCCCCAGGTATCTGCATGGCTTGCTTCTTTGTGCCATAAAGGATGTTGTGCAAATGTAAGGGGCTGAAAAGGCCTGACATTCTGGAATGTTAATGAGCCTACTTGGATCAAACCATGGGTATTAATAGAAAATACTTGGAGGTGGTTCAAGACAATGACTGAGTTGTGAAGTGAGCCTTAACGGCCAGACACCATGTCTGGAACATTCAGGCTAGGACCAAGTTATTCCTTGAGCACTGGCACATTCAAATGTCGTGGAGGACCCTTTGTCCTGGGCCGTGGGGTAGTTGGGGCTGGCATCATGCCACTGGCATCCACCCACCATATTGTTGGCTGGTAGGATCTCTGAGAAGTGGGAATGAACAATCAAAGGTAATTTTTCACCATAGGTGTACACAATCTCATAATTAGAAACAATAATCATGCAAGGCACTTCACAGCTTACTCATCCATAAAATAGGAATCACACCTACTCCACAGATTTGTTGGAAGAACTAAATTAGATAAAAGATATCAAATACTTAGTACAGTGTCTGCTATAAAGGAATATCACAACAAATGTTGGCCACTAATGCTAATGATGATCATGACTCGTAATCATGATGCTGAAGATAGTAACATCCAGTCTTCTCTTCACCATGCTAGGCCTTCAGTAATTAACTCATTAAGTAAACTTATCTTGGGAATGTTCTATGAGTTTCTTCTTTCTTTTACTTTTTGTTATTTATTGTCTTCCAAACTTTCCTGAAAATGTTATCTTCTAGGAAATGCTTTTTTGCTTAATAATATTCTTCATTGTTAATATCATTTCATCCATCCTTCTATCCCTCCTTCTGTCACCCATCCATCCATCCATCCACCCATCCATCCATCCATCCATCCATACATCCATACATCCATCCATCCATCCATCCATCCATCCCTCCATCCACCCACCCATCCATCCATCCACCCATCCATCCATCCCTCCATCCACCCATCCATCCATCCATTCATCCATAATCCACTTTTTTCCATCCATCCAATAAGTATTCCAGAGCCGTGCCAGCTATATAGAACTGGTGCAACTGCCAATAGGAAATGGACATGATTTCTGACCTCAACAGTCAGAGATGAGACATAGGCACCAATATCTATCACCCAACATGGAAAGTGAGAACAGCCACACCAGGTAGTATGAAGGTCCTGAGAGGGTCACCACAGGGCCGCCTAGCCCACATCCTCAACTCACTAGTTCTCTTAAGCAAAAAAAAAAAAAAAAAAAAAAATATATATATATATATATATATATATATATATAGTTCTCTTTTCTTCCACCTCCTTTTCCCCAAACTTGGGGTACAGACAGCCTTCTGTAGCATTACATTGCTCATACGGTCTGGCTTCACCCACCACTTCACCCACTGGAAAGTGCATTTTCCAGTATGGCGGCCACCAGCCACTGTGGCTCTTGAGCCTGGAAAGGTGGCGAGTTCTCATTGCCCCATGCGGTAGGTGTAAAACGCTTACTGGGCTCTGAAGATGAAGTGGGAGAAAGCAAAGAGTGTGAATATCTCATTACATTTTTCTGTGTGTTGATCAGACACGAAATGATAATATTTTGGCTGTCATGGTTCAACAAAATACATTATTAAATGTTTTTGTTTAATGAGGTGACTATGAAACTTACAATGATATTTATGGCTCAAGTTATATTTCCTCCAGCGGACAGCGCTGCTCTACACCCCCCTCCCTTGCTGTGGGGGCCCCCAGGTCCCGCCTCTCACACCCCTCCCAAGTCTCTAGGTTGAGGTGTACCTTTGCGAGAGAGTCCTTCTTGGCCCTAGCTGTCTCCACGAGCCCTCTTTGAAGTTCTGCTCACCAAACCTCTGGATTATTTGGAGATTGACCCCAACCTGTCTGTAGGAAGACAGTGCAGCTCCCCGAAAAAGGGTTTTCTGTGACTACAATCAAGATGATTTGGATGAGATAGCCTCATGGTTAATGATGCTGCAGGATGAGCTCAAGCATATCCATGAGGCCCATAAAATTCAATCATGTGTTTATTAATGGGGTCGTGCAGGGGCTGAGGTCATGGGCAAGAATGGTAATGAACGGAGGAGAAAGTGTTCCTGGATATGAGGCTACAAGGGAATGGACAGGTTTTACCTGAATAATGAAAGACCAGGAGCCCTTGAATTTTCCAGTGAGAAAGGAAGCATGGGAGAATCGAAAGCACCAGCTCTCTGAAACATATCGCCTAATCTTTCCTCATTTTTACAAAGTGTACATGTTCATTTTTTAATTTGTTTTAAAGTTTATTTATTTTGAGGGACAGAGAGAGAGGGAGACACAGAATCTGAAGCAGGCTCCAGGCTCTGAGCTGTCAGCACAGAGCCCCACGCGGGGCTTGAACTCACTAACTGTGAGATCACAACCTGAGCCGAAGTCAGTCGCTCGACCAACTTAGCCACCAAGGCACCTCTAAAAGTGTATTTATTTATTTTTAGAGAGAGAGAGAGAGAGAGCGCGCACAGGGGAGGGGCAGAGAGAGAGGGAGTCAGAGAATCTCAAGCACTGTCAGCGCAGAGCCTCACTTGGGGCTCAAACTCACAAGCGGTGGTGAGATCATGACCTGAGCCCAAATCAAGAGTTAGATGCTTAACTGACTGAGTCACCCAGGCACCCCTGCTTTTTCCTCATCTTTAAATTCTATTGTACCATTCTGAAAATTCTGTAAGAAATCCACAGTCCTGTCTTGGTATCTTTCAGGATTGACACCATAGAGATTTGCCAAATATTACAATTGATCACAGGTAGGATTCATTGGCTTTACAGACGAGGAAACGGAGGCACGGATGTGCTCAAGGACTTGCCAAAAGCCATAGAACAAACAGGCAGGACAGTGGGACCTGGAGCAGCTGAGTGAGATTGGTGCCAGCTTCTCACGTCACAGGTTTGGGGGTTTTCTGTGTACGAGGCTTTGCAGTCTTCGCTTCCTGACATGGCAGCCTCCTTCCCAGCCTCTGGCTCCTGTCTGTGTCCGCCTGCCCTTCTTTCTCTGTGTCTTGGAGACCCCCTGTCCCTCAGCCTCTCAAACACTCTTTCTTCCCCCTCTCCCTTTTTCTCTTCACCCTGTCTGCTTTTTCCTCTTCTTTATCTCTCTGGGTCTCTGGATTTAGGTCAGTCTCTCTGCGTCATTCTGACTTGAATGTTTCACTACTTATGGGTGCATCTGTATACACTTATGTGTGTACATATGTGAGTGTGTGTGTCCATACATATGTGCATATGGCTCTGCCCTTCCTCTTTCTCTTTTTCTCTTAGTCCATCAGCCTGCCTCTCTTTCTCTCTCAACTGCTCCTTACTTTTACTTTTTTAGAGAAAGAGTGCATGCATGAGTTGGAAGGAAAGGAGCAGAGGGAGAGAATCTTAAGCAGGCTCCACATGTAGCATGGAGCCCGACACGGGGCTTGATCCCACAACCCTGGGATCATGACCAGAGCCAAAATCAAGAGTCAGACTCTCAACCAATTGAGCCACCCAGGAGCCCCTCAACCTATTTATTTTAAAATAAGAATGTATAGGGGGGTCTGGGTGGCTCAGTCGGTTAAGCTTCCGACTTTGGCTCAGGTCATGATCTCACAGTTTGTGAGTTCGAGCCCCGCATCGGACTCTCTGCTGACAGCTGAGAGCCCGGAGCCTGCTTCAGATTCTGTGTCTCCCTCTCTTTCTGCCCCTCCCTTGCTCATGCTCATGCTCATGCTCATGCTCTGTCTCTGTCTCTCTCTCAAAAATAAATAAACATTAAAAAATTTTTAAAGGAAAAATAGGACTGTATACTGGAATCACCAGACAGCTTTTAAGAATACGGACTCTGCATTTGTATTTTTTTTACAGCTTTATTGAGGTAGAATTGGACACGTTCACTCTCTGATTACAAGACTAGAGATATGTGTGTGCCTGTGAAGCCACCACAACGATCCAGGTAATAATATGTCCATCACCTCCAAAAGCTCCCTCCTGTCTCTTTCTGTTTGTTTTTGTGTTTGTCTTTGTTTTGTGTGTAAGAGCACTCAACACGAGATCTCCCTTCTTTTTTTAACGTTGTTTTATTTATCTTTGAGAGAGAGAGAGCGCGCGCAAGCAGGGGAGGGACAGAGAGGGGGATAGAGAAGAACGGAAGCGGGCTGTGCATTGAGAACAGCAAGCCCAATGTGGGGCTCAAACTCACAGGCTGCGAGATCATGACCTGAGCTAAAGTCAGACGTTCAACTGACTGAGCCACCAGGGTGCCCCAGATTCATTTTTAATGATAGCATTTACCTTTTTTATTTTTTTCAAGTTTTAAGTTTATTTATTTTTAGAGAGAGAGAGAGTGTGTGAGAGGAATAGGGGAGAGAGTGAAGGAGAGAGAGACTGACGCAGGGCTCAAACTCATGAACCGTGAGATCATGACCTGAGCCAAAATCAAGAGTTGGAGGCTTAACTGACTGGGCCACCTGGGTGCCCCCCTAATATTTACCTTTAAATATGAGTATGCATTCTAGATCTAATGAGGTGAGCAGATTGTATGTGTTCTGTATTTAGAAATTATGTCAGTAAGACCGTATGTCTATTTGTTATGCAAAAGTTAAATGTGGCCATAATCAATGCTAATATTACAAAATAGCTTTAGGAAAGCCATTAGTTTTGTATAAAAAAATAGTTATGAAGAACCTTCAGGGCTGCCTGGGGGGCTGTCAGTTAAGAGTCCGACTTTGGCTCAGGTCATGATCTCACGGTTCGTGGGTTTGAGCCCCGCGTCGGGCTCTGTGCTGACAGCCAGCTCAGAGCCTGGAGCCTGTTTCAGATTCTGCGTCTCCCTCTCTCTCTGTTCCTCCCCTATTGTGCTCTCTCTCTCTCTCAAAAATAAACACTAATTTTTTTTGAAGTCTTTAAAATTTTTGAAAATGAAAATAAAACCTATTGTGCAAGAGCAGAAGTTGCACAGTTGAGAGCCTCTGATTTGATGGTGTTGACATTTTGGTGGTTGTCATTTGACGCCAAAGTTTTCTTTTGTCATTTGTTCTGAAGGAAATTCTCATCTTTACTGATAAGTATAAAGGAGGCAACTTGATGGATGTACTTCCAACTTAAAGAATATTAATGAAGGGGGAGCCTGGGCAGCTCAGTCGGTTAAGCATCAGACTCTGGGTTTCGGCTCAAGTCATGATCTCACGGTTCGTGAGTTCGAGCCCTGCATCATGCTCTGCACTGATGGTGTGGAGCCTGCTTGAGATTCTCTGTTTCCCTCTCTCTCTGCCCCTCCCCTGTTCATTCTCTCTCTCTCTCAAAAAGAAATATATAAACATTTTTTTAAAAGGATATTAATGAAGACTACCAGAGAGTGTGTTTCAGACTTCAGTCTTACTTTTCAGAGCCATGAACTGTAGGGAACCCATACACGTGGCATTGCTTATTCCTCAGAATTGCAAAGCCACCTGTGGCCCATTGGGTAGATCGTTGTGGGCTTCCAGAAAGCAGAGGCCACACCAAAGGTTCATGGAGCCTGCACAGGGATGCTTGTATCTGGGGGTAAATCTGTGTCTCCAACCAGCCTCTCCAGTGAAGTCCTTGGGCCTGGCTTTCAAAGACCCATGTAAGACCTATGTAAGATCCAAGACATGGCTACATCTATACTCTGCTCATGGATCCTGGATGATTGTGGCTGTGGAAACAAGTTGAACTTTCTTGTGTATTTCTTTTTCTGCATTTCCTTCTGTGAGAGGCAGGTGGTTCTAGCTTTGGGACAGAGAGGTGGTGGGGGGAAGATGAAGGAGAAGAGTGAGAGGGAAGGAGGGGGGGCTGAGAAGTAAAGGGGAGTTTACAAGAAGGAAGGGGAGGGGAGAAGGAGGAGTCTAGGGATGCCGGAGAAAAGGAGGGGGAGGAGGAGAGAGGAGGACAGGGGATGGAGGAAAGAGGAGCAGTGATTGTGGCTATGAAATCCTGAGAAGGAGCTGGTCGACCAGCAGTCCCTGGGAAGAGGAGCATGGCCTTGCACATGGTGCTTCTGTTGCTCTGGGTCTGCCGGCTTCACAGCGTGGTTGATCAAGACTACAGAGGTGAGTAGCAATGTTCCAGCATCAGGATGGACACTTAAACGCCAAGTTCTGGGGCGCCTGGGGGACTCAGTCGGTGATGCATCTGAATCGGCTCAGGTCATGATCTCGCTGATTGTGGGTTCGAGCCCCAGCATCAGGCTCTGTGCTGATGGCTCGGAGCCTGGAGCCTGCTTCCGATTCTGTCTCCCTCTCTCTCTGACACTCTCTGCCTCGTGCTCTCCCTCTCTCTGTCTCTCAAAAAAATAAATAAACATTTAAAAAAACATGGTTGCTCCATGTTTAATTTTCTGAGCAACCTCCCTCCTGTTGTCCATAGCAGCTGCACTGGTTTCCATTCCCAGCACGAGCTCTCCATAATTCCTTGCTGTTATGATTAGATCAGCTTTTCTTTTAGAAATCGTTGACCCGTTGCATTATGGAACCATTCCCACATACTCAGAAGAATTGGCAATGTCCCCCCACCCCCCGGGTAGAGAGCAGACAGAATTTCTAGGGTTAAGCAGAACAGAGTGCTGAGTGCTAAATATGCATAATTCGCATGGTCCTCATAACAATCCCATGAGGCAAGTACAATTATCACCCTCACTTTATAGAAGAGAATCGGAGGCACTGAGGGGTTGAGTCATGCCCCCAATGTCACACAGCTAGCGGGAGACAACTGAGGTACAGATTTGGAGAAAGCATATTTCTTTAGCTGCATCTCTGCACTGTCCGTTTGTATTCTGAATGTGTCCTCTAACTGAATCCTTCCTACTTGAAGGTGTGAAGAAGTAAGTCATCTCTCATCACCTTCTTTATGCCATGTTTCCTGCTCCCTGGGGGGGAAAAAAGTCTCATGTTTTATACCGATGGCCAGGTCAACAGTTACAGCCACATTTTAACAAAGTTAAAAACACATCCGTTGAGATCCTGTCTGTGTTCCGATCTCAGAGAAGAGCAGTTGACCATCTGCGAACAATAGACAGTCCATTTATTATGAAATGCCTTAGCATTTTCTGTGTGCTTTCTCCTAATTTCAGTGCTTGCCCGCTACCAGAGTCTCCTAATCTTGAATTCCCAGAGCAATTTCTAGTGGATGTAAGTTCTCTATTTGTGAAAATTGATTTGCAAACTTGAGCGAGTCTTTCCATGTCATCGGGGAGAAAATAATAACAGTTGTGTTAAAGAGAGAAATCCTTTTTGCAATAAAAGAGTTGTTGTAAGGTACGTGCTCGCTTTGTGCTGTGTCCCGTGCAGAGCCCAGATGTGAGTTTTTGGTTCAACCCTCATAACCAACCTGTGACTGAACTGCAGAGATCTTTCTTTAGCAGATGCTAAAACTAATTTGATCTTATTCTAAAAGCCAAGGACAGATAAGTAAATGTTTGCTTCCAATGGTACCTTTCAGATAGTACTAACAAGAAATCAAATAAGACAAAACAGAAAAGAACGGTGAAGGTATAGAATAACACATGTGTTCCTTCCTATATTGTGGTTTAGTTTTGTAGGAAGGTATGGAAAAAGTAAGTCATTTATTTTTGCCTATTTTTTTTATTTTTTGAATTTATTTTTGAGAGACCGAGAGAGAGAGTTAGTGAGGGAGGGACAGAGAGAGAAGAAAGAAAGAATCCCAGGCAGGATCCATGCTGTCAGCACAGAGGCCAACAAGGGCCTTGAACCCACGAACCATGAGATCATGACCTGAGCTAAAATCAAGAGTCGGATGCTTGACTTAGCAACCCGGGAGCCCCTGATTTTTTGTTTGTTTGTTTTAGAGATTGTTTTTATTGCTCTTGTTCATTAACACTAGTTGGAAAATACAGTTAAAGCAAAAGGAAAACTTAAAACTCACCCACAATGATACTCCTGAAGATAAGCACCACTGAAATTATGATGCATCTCCTTCAAAAGATTATCCTTACTGAAATGTAATTTAGTAAAATATTTTTATTTTATTTTAAAGACTAAATCTAGTGAAATAAATATTTGTTTACAATTGTGTCTTTCAGATGTCTATACACCAGCTATAGGTAAGTTGATCAAAAGTCTTTTATTAGAGTTTCTTTTTAAATTTGGCGAGAAAATGTAAAGTCATCAATATCATGCTTCTTTTCCCAGTAAGAAATTACATTTTCCGTGAGAAACTACTGTTTTATGTCCTTATATATAAGATAAAATATGGGACGCCTGGGTGGCCCAGTCAGTTAAGGGTCCAACTCTTAGGACGCCTGGGTGGCTCAGTCAGTTAAGGGTCTGACTTTGGCTCAGGTCATGATCTCGTGGTTCGTGGGTTCGAGCCCCACGTCGGACTCTGTGCTAGCAGCTCAGAGCCTGGAGCCTGTTTCAGATTCTGCGTCTCCCTCTCTCTCTGACTCTCCCCTGCTCACACTGTCTCTCTCTCAGAAATAAATAAAAACATTAAAAACTTTATAAAAATAAAAAAGGGTCCTACTCTTGATCTTGGCTTGGGCCTGGATCTCAAGGTTGTGAGTTCAAGCCCTGCATCAGGATGTGTGCTGGGCGTGAAGCCTACTAAAAAAAAAAAAAAAAAAAAATCTATGTTAAAAATGGTTAAGGAAGAGAGCCTCAGTGGCTCAGTCAATTAAGTGTCTGACTCCTGATTTCAGCTCAGGTCATGATCTCACAGTTCGTGGGATGGAGCCCCACATCGGGCTCTGTGCTGGCATTTTCCTATCTATTTCTATGCTCGTCTTTGTTAAACACCTGCCTGGTATTATAAAGTTGTATTTTATTTTATTTAGTTAGTTATTTATTTTAAGTAGTCTTCACACCTAGCACGGCACCCAATACAGAGCTTGAATTCAAGACCCTGAGATCAAGACCTGAGCTGAGATCAAGAGTCAGACACTTAACTGACTGAGCTGTCCAGGCACCCCTAAAGTTATATTTTATTTTTAAATTCCCTTAGTGATTGGTGTTTTTGGATTAATTTCTATTTGAGAGGCTGTTATCAACTGAGCTGAAATAAGTACTTTCACTTTTTTTAAGTTTATTTATTCATTTTGAGGGAGAGAGAGAACGACCAAGGGAGGGGCGGGAGGGAGGAGAATCCCAAGCAGGCTTCGTGCTGTCAGCACAGAGCCCAATGTGGGGCTCCATCCTACGAAACATGAGATCATGACCAGAGCAGAAACCAAGAGTTGGATGCTTAACTGACTGAGCCACCCAGATTCCCCTGAAATGAACATTCTTTTTTAATATTTTTTAATGTTTTATTTATTTCTAAGAGAGAGACAGCGTGAGCAGGGGAGGGGCAGAGAGAGGGAGACACAGAATCTGAAGACAGGCTCCAGGTTCTGAGCTGTCAGCACAGAGACCGAGGCAGGGGCTCAAACTCATGAACCATGAGATCATGACCTGAGTCGAAGTCGGACACTTAACTGACTGAGCCACCCAGGCGCCCCTGAAATGAATATTCTTAGCCTGAATGTCACTCTCTCTGTCCAAAGCACGATGTGTCCACTGTGACCAGGACTAGTTAACATTGTTGGGGGGTGGCGGAATCTAACACACGTGATATTGCGGAAAGGCAATAATCCATAAACCGGAGAAAATAACAAGTACAATTATTTTATATGATTGTACACTTTATAGGAACCCTTTATAGTAATCAGGAAAGATTACTAGCTTCAGTAAGAGAGTCTGGCTATGTGGTTGGATATAAGATAGATATACATTAGCCAATTGTTTTTCTCTATACTGGTAAGAGCAAACTAGACACTAATAGAAAACGAAATCATTCTATTTTACATCAATTACTAACAGCACTTTAGAGTTACATCAGCAAGAAATGTCCGGGACTTAAAGTAAATGATAAAATCACACTGAAGTATATAAAGTGAATATGAAATAATAGGAGAATCACCCCAAGTTCTTGATTGGAAAATGTAAGAATTGTGAAATAAATGTCAGCTTCAAAATTTCTTTTTCAGGAACTATAACTCGCTTTCCAGAAGTCAGAGGTAAGTTGACAGAAGATTTTTGCTATCAAAGTGCATTTTCTTTTGGGGTGCCTGGGTGGCTTGGTCGGTTAAGCGTCCGACTTTCGCTTGGGTCATGATCTTGCGGTTCATGGGTTCGGGCCCCGCGTCGGGCTCTGTGCTGACTGCCAGCTCAGAGCCTGGAGCCTGTTTAAGAGTCTGTGTCTCCCTCTCTCTCTGACCCTCCCCTGTTCACGCTGTCTCTCTCTCTCTTAGAAATAAATTTTTTTAAAAAGTGCATTTTCTTTTGACTTTGTAAAAATAGGGAAATCAGTGGGGTTTTTCCTGGTAACATTTCTTTCTTTTTTTTTCTCTTTTCATAAAATTTGATGTAAGCAATTTGTAAACAGAAAGAAAAACAAGAAATGGAGTCACCTTGAACTTTAGTGGCACTACTTTTTAATTCCTGCCAATATAACAGAAAATACTTGATTTTAAATTTCACATAGGTTGGGGCGCCTGGGTGGCTCAGTCAGTTAAGCGTCCGACTTTGGCTCAGGTCATGATCTCACGGTTCGTGGGTTTGAGCCCTGCGTCGGGCTCTGTGCTGACAGCTAGCTCAGAGCCTGGAGCCTGTTTTGGATTCTGTCTCTCTCTCTCTCTGACTATCCCCTGCTCACACTGTCTCCCTCTCTCTCAGAAATAAATAAAAAACATTAAAAAATAATAAAATGAAATAAAATTCACATAGGAAAAAATGCCCAGTAGTCATTGGAAGTTTATAAACAAAAAAAGTGCTGGAGAAACACTTTGTATTATCAGATATTTAAGCAAACCACCACTATAGTCATATAAATAGCATGGTGTCAGCCTAGAATGCGTCCACTAATAATAAATAATCTTTTCTGATGCTTGCTGGCTTCAGATCCTGTTCATTTTACCCTGCACTATTTATTTTATTTTTTTAATCTGTTATTTATTTATTTGAGAGTCTGGGGAGCACATGGGACAGAAGCAGGGGAGAGAGAGAGAGAGAGAGAGAGAATTTCAAGCAGGCTCCCTGCTTAGCACAGAGCCTAACGTGAGGCTTGATCCCATGACCCTGGGCTCATGACCTGAACTGAAATCCAGAGTCAGACACTCAACTGACGGAGCCACCGAGGCACCCCAACTGCACCGTCTATTTTAAAGAAAGATGGGAATCATCTGTTTCAAAGTCAAACATTTTTAAATTGTATAAATCCAGGTGAAAGAGCACATTGGTAGGAAAGATGAATTGTAATCCCCTTTTGAGAAAGCAACACTCAGCAATGTTAACAATTCATATGTGCTTTAACCTAATAATCCTGCTTTTGGGGATTCCATTCTGTAGAAGCAAATGCTTCGATACATAAGGATTTACATATAGGAATGCTTGCCTCAGCTTCATATGCGGGGGGTAAGCAATCCAAATAAAGGAAATACTGAATAAGTTTGGCAAAATCCATATCACGGACGATGAATTGGCATTAGAAAGAAGTTAAAGCTACAAAACTTAAAAGGACACGGTGGATAACATTTTTGGCTTGAGTCAGTGGGTGGATGACTGTTTCATTCACTGAGGATGAATATAAGCAAGAAAGAAAGATGGTTTGGGGCGCCTGGGTGGTTTAGTTGGTTAAGCGTCTGACTTTTGCTTAGGTCATGATCTTGCGGTTCGTGGGTTCGAGCCCCGCGCCGGGCTCTGTGCTGACTGCCAGCTTGGAGCCTGGAGCCTATTTCAGAGTCTGTGTCTCCCTCTCTCTCTGACCCTCCCCTGCTCACGCTGTCTCTCTCTCTCTCTCACCTAAAATAAAGAAAAATATTTAAGAAAGAAAGAAAGAAAGAAAGAAAGAAAGAAAGAAAGAAAGAAAGAAAGAAAGAAAGATGGTGAGTTCAATTCTAGATGAAGTTCTGGAAGCTATCTTAAAATGGAGGCCAAGAGTTTAAAAAAAAAAAAAAAGTGGGGAGGATACATTGAGAAGGATTTTTGTGATGTGCTGAGTTAGAAACTCAGGTTATAGGGCCCCTGGGTGGCTTAGACGGTTGAGCGTCCATCCGAGTCTTCATTTCAGGTCAGGTCATGATCTCACGGTTTGTGAGTTCAAGTCCCACATTGGGCTCTGCGCTGACAGCATGGAGAGCCTCCTTCAGATTCTCTGTCTCCATTTCTGTCTGTCCTTCCTCCACTAGTGCGTGCGTGCTCTCCTCTCTCTCAAAATAAATGATGGATATAAAGTATGATTCACTTGGGGAGGGAGCAAAAAAATCTGTGCATGTGCACCTCTATGTATAATATGTATAGTTATATATATATATATATTGGATGGACAGAGTGGACGGTTGGATGGATGGATGGATGGAGATATATATGTGTGCATGCAGAAAAGTATGGATAGAGATAAACCTGGCTACTTACATTGTGTGTGTGTGTGTGTGTGTGTGTGTGCGTGTGTGTAAGAAGGTAAAGAAAAGAGATGGAGGGGAACCCAGTCTCAAATGTGTGTCTCTAACCTCAGCATCAGCTTCTGGAACTGGGACCAATACTGTGAGAGCAGTGGGATGCGGAGTAGGGATTTCAACAGCTCAGCGAGTCCGTGGCCCGATACTGTTCCACAGAACCTCAGGCAGGGCTTCTGATTTCAGTGCAACCAAGGGAAAGCGAAAGTAATTTTGTAACATCTCAACTAACGCGCCCAGAGAAGGATGAAGGATCTTTGTTTTCTCTAGAGGGGAAGTGCGTCTTTCCGTTCCACTACAAAAAAGGGACCTTCTATGACTGTGTCAAGTTCAATGCAAGACACGAGTGGTGCTCCCTAAATAAGACTTACGAAGGATATTGGAAGTATTGCTCCAAAGAAGGTGAGTATCTTGCCTCTGAAATACCCGCCGGGGCTGAGGTCCGGCCAGACCCCTCCCCCAGAGGATCCTGACAAGGGAACCCGCGGTCACTCAGGTCACTCACACCACAAAAACAAGGTTTGTGCAGATGCCTGGCAGTCCGGACGTCACCCCGCCCCCAGGAGTGTGAGGAGAGCTTCCCCCAACGTTACCTTGCGATGAAAATGTTTAGCAAAGCCTCAGTCCCCCACCGGTATTTCAGAGTAGATGGTGCCGAGCGGGGTGGGGTGTGTGTGTGTGTATGTGTGTGTGTGTGGTGGCAGCGAGGAGGAAGATTCCTTACTCTGATTGCTTCTCTTCTCTGCAGACTTTGCTAAATGCATGTTTCCCTTCTGGTACCGGCGCATCATCTACCACGAATGTACTGAAGACGGGGAATCATTTGGGAAAAAGTGGTGCTCGCTGACCCAGAATTATAACAAGGACAAGATTTGGAAATATTGTGACTGAGGGTGACCTTTTCTGGGAGGGGCATGAAGAGGTCTCATCGTTCTCAGGGGAAATCATCTCGTTTCTTTTGTGAAAGGAGGACGTAGGACTCTCCTGAAAAAGGCTTTGTTTTTTTTCCCCTTGAGATGTGACCTGGCTGTAAATAACTTGGTGGGGGGGTTGGTCATGGATTATGGATAACGGGGTGTTTATATGGAAACGTACATTCTAGCCTCAGCACTTTTACTTGCTAACTGAGTTAACCTTGGCCTTTTTTTTTTTTTTAAGAGAGAGAGAGAATGTGCATGTGGGAAAGGGGCAGAGAGAGAGGGAGAGAGAAAACCCTAAGCAAGCTCCGTGCTCAGCCCGACCCGACCTGGGGCTCAGGCTCACCACCCTGGGATGATATGGGCCGAAATCAAGAGTCAGGTGCTCAACCAACTGAGCCACCCTTGTGCCCCAGAATTAAGCCCTTTTAAAAAAGCTTATGGACTTTGGGTGATAATGAGGTGTCATTTAGTTCCTTTGATTGCAATGGTAGCGAACATCCCACTCTGGTGGGGGGTGTTGATTTGGGGGGAGGCTGTGCCTGTGTGAGGATGAGGGGACCATGGGAAGCTCTGTGTCTTTTGCTCCATTTTGCTATAAACCTGAAACTGCTCTAAAAATAATAAAGTCTATGAAAAATGCATTGCTTTAATATAGAATTTAAAAACATTTTTAATGTTTATTTTTGAGAGACAGAGAGAGACAGAGTGTGAGCGGAGGAGGGTCAGAGAGAGAGGGAGACACAGAATCCGAAGCAGGCTCCAGGCTCTGAGCTGTCAGCACAGAGCCCGACGCGGGGCTCGAACTCACAAGCTGTGAGATGATGACCTGAGCCGAAGTCGGCCACCCAACCAACAGAGCCACCCAGGCGCCCCTAGAATTTTTCTTAAAAACAACAACAAAAAAAATAAGCGATAACCAAAATGGGACCTGAGGTAGGAATATAGGTGTTGACGAGGTGAAGTGACAGAGGGGATCTCAAAGCAACACAGTAGGGAACCGCGCGGCCCTGGGGTGATGTGGCCAAAGAGGGCTGGTGACGGACTACAGCAAGTGCCAGTTTACCCCACAGGGAGGGGGAGGGCGTCATTTCCTGGAGCCATTCAGGAAATAAGCACGTTGCGTGTCTCTATGATTATAGTTTATTGAACACGTGGGACAGACACTACGCTACGTGCATTACGCACATCACTATTAATCCTCACAACCAACCATCACCGTTTTCAGAAACTACGAATCAGGTGGATTCACTAATTCGCAGGGCTCCGTGCCCATGGCTGTTATGACATAAAAAGGTAATAAGATCAGAAGGCAAAGCACGGTTTATCACACGACCCGGAAATTCCACTCCTAGGGATGGACACACCCAATGAGTTGAAGGCAAGGGCTTGAGCAAACATTGCTTGGCCAACGTTCTTTTTGGGAGTAGTCGCAGTAGCCGAAAGGAGGAAGCAAGCAAGCGCCCATCAGCTGATGAGGGGACGAAGAGAATGTAGCGGAGCCCTGTGGTGGAAGAGTATTCAGCCATGGAAAGCCATGAGGTTGATGCATTCCATTGCACCATCTTGAAACATCACAGTAAGTGAAATCAGCCCAACGCAAAGGAACAGATATTGTGTGGCTCCATTTATATGATGTATCTAGAAAGGGTAAGTTCACAGAGACAGGAAGTAGATTAGAAGTTACCAGGGGCTGGTGGGAGGGGAGAAATGGAGAGTAGCTGCTTTAATGGGTACAGGCTTTCTGTTTGGGGCTGTAGAAAACTTTGGAATTAAGTAGTGGCATGCTGAGCGCCACTCAGCTGTGCATGTGAGTATATTGCTGCTGAACCGTTTGCTTAGAAACGGTTAAAACTAGGGGTGCCTGGGTAGCTCAGTTGGTTGAGCGTCCCACTTTGGCTCAGATCATGGTCTCATGGTTCATGGGTTTGAGCCCTGCGTTAGGCTCTGTGCTGAAAGCTCAGAGCCTGGAACCTGCTTTGAATTCTGTGTCTCCCTCTCTCTCTGCCCCTCCCCTGTTCACACTCTGTGTATGTCTCTCTGTGTCTCTCAAAAATAAATAAAAACGTTAAGGGGCACTTGGGTGGCTCAGTCAGTCGAGTGTCAGACTCCTGATTTCCGCTCAGGTCATGATCTCATGATTTGTGAGTTCGAGCCCCACATTGGGCTTGCAGCTCTCAGCCTGTCAGCGAAGGATCCTCTGTCCCCCTCTGTCTGCCGCTCCCCTGCTTGCGCTCTCCCCAAAATAAATATTTTTAAATAAATAAATAAATATGTTAAAATAGATAAATAATAATAAGTTATTTTTATCTTTTTTGCTTTGTGTGTTCTGAGGGTGTTTTCTCTACCTTGGACGTCTAAAAACTATCATCCTATATGCTAGAAATCATTATTTCCAGGTACGGCTTTCCAGGTAACTGGTGGGTCCTTTGAATATGTCGATTCCGATCTTCTTCTGTTTTTGCAGAGTTCATTCTTTGACTATATCCATAATATGATTTTTCTTCCTTTGTTTTGTTATTCTTTTTCAGGGACATGCATCATATATGCGGTGTAAGTTCCTTTATTTCGATCACTGTCTCTCTTACTCCTTTGATGTTTTTATCTTATTTTCACCTTCCTGGATGTCCTAGTATTTTTCTTAAATGCTCTTTCTTGAGTCTGTGCTTGGATCTACCCTCTTGGCCAGATTTTACTTGAGCTGTCACTTCGGATACTTTTAAACTTTTTCTCCATTTCCTGCTTACGCTCAGTATTGTTCTATTTTTCCCTATTTAAAAGATATCAGTGGAGTACTTCTTGAATTTCTGATTCAAGATGGTTTTCCTATCTCCAAATACTCGTAGCATTTCACAGACCCGGGTTGATGGTCTCTAAGATTTGTAGCTCAAGGGCGCCCTCTGCCGTCCACATTAGGGCAGTTTCTTTCCTGGATGGCTTTTTTCAGATGTTCAACGGCGGGAAAGGTTTGTGGTTTCTTCCATGGGCGGGGGGCGGAGGGGGGGGCAGGGGGGTAGTTGTTTTATTTTATGGTGTCCTAACGTGTGCCACTCTTTTCCCTCATCAACACTCAGCCTCCAAAGGATTTCTACTTTCCGTTTTAACTTTGTCTCCTACCAAAGTGATGCTTCCCACATCAGCCCACTCAGGTCTCTGTACTTCTAAATTCCCCTCCTGACTCCTTTCCAGTACTTTCTCACTTTGGGCAGAATTTCTCCTCTGGGGCTGACTGCAGCCATAGCTTTGGTTTTTCCAGAATATCATATAGTTTGGAGCATACAGTACGGAGCTTTTTAGGATGGTTTCTTTCACTTAGCGATATGCATCAAAGATTCCCCAATGGTGTTCATGCAGCTCACGACAGTTCATTTCCTTTTCTTACTGAATCATATTCCATTGTCTAGATGTACCGGTTTATTCATCTACTGACCTACTGAAGGGCGTCTTGGCTGCTCCCAAGTTCAGGCAGTTATGAATAAAGCTGCCGTAAATCTCTGCGTGCAAGTTTTTGTGTCGACATGAGTTTCCAACTTATCCAACCATGAGTCATGGATGACATGACTCATCCAACTCATATGAGTCATGCTGGCTCATATGATAAGAGCGTGTTTAGCTCTGTGGGAAACTGACAACCCCCTAAAGTGGCCGTACCATTCTGCATTCCCACCAGCAATGAATGAGAGTTCCTGTCGTTCTACATCGTCACCAGCATTGACGTTGTTGGCCTTTGGGTTTGGGCCATCGTCATGGGATTGTAGTGGTATTTCATTGCCTTAATTTGCAATTCCCTAGTGACACAGGGTATTGATCATTTTTCCATAAGCTTAGCTGTGATCTGTACATCCTGTCTGGTGAGATATCTGTTCAGCTCTTTTGTTTGTTTTTAAGATTGGGTTGTTTCTTTTCTTATTGCTGAGTTGTAAGAATTCTTCGTATGGTCTGATTACCAGCCCATTGGCAGATATATGGTGTTCCAACACCATTTGTTGAAAACACTATCTTTTCTCCATCGAAATGCATTTGTTCCTTTGTCACAGATTAATGGACTATATTTAAATCTTTACTTTTGTAAGATAGACAGAGTGCGAGCGGGGGATGAAAAGAGAGAGGGAGACACAGTATCCGAAGCAGGCTTCAAGCTCTGAGCTATCAGCACAGAGCCCGATGTGGGGCTCAAACCCACAAACTGTGAGATCTTGACCTGAGCTGAAGTCAGACGCCCTACTGACCGAGCCACCCAGGCGCCCTCTAGTGGACTATATTTATGTAAGTCTGCTTCTGGGCTCTATTCTGTTCTATTGATCTATTTGTCTCTTATTTCATTAATATTACACTGTCTTGATTAACTTCCTAAGAATCCTTCAAGGTGTACCCTTTGACCAGCATCTCCCCATTTTTGCTGCCCTTCTACTCTGTTTCTGTGAGTTCCACTCTTTTAGATTCCACACGTAAGTGTGTTCGTAAATTTTTTCCCCACGTGTGGCTTAATTTGCTTGGCATAATGTCCTCTGGGTTAATTCGTATTGTCACAAAAGACAGGACTTCCTTTTTTAAGGATGATAATGGTCCATTATATATATGGACATCGTATATACATTTTCTTTATCCATTCATCCATCAATGCGCACTTTGGTTGCCTCCACATTTTGCCTGTTGTGAATAATGCTGCAGTGAACATGGGGGTGCAGGTATCTCCTCAAGGCGGTAACTTTATTTTCTTTGGATATATGCCCAGAAGTAGGATGGCTGGATTTTGGGAAGAAATTGCATGCTGTTTTCCACAACGGCCGCACCGATGGACAAAGTGCCCAAAGAGACATTTTTCCAAAGAAGACACACCCATACCAATGGGTATATGAAAAGGTGTTTAACATCACTAATTATGGAAATTCAACTCAAAACCGCACTGAGGGGGGCCTGGGTGGCTCAGTAGGTTAGCGTCTGACTTTAGCTCAGGTCATGATCTCAGAGAGTTTGAGCTCCGCATCCGGCTTGCTGCTGTCAGTGCGGAGCTCTCTTCGGATCCTGTCTCCCTGTGTCACTGCCCCTCCCCTGCTCATGCATGCTCTCTCAAGAATAAAAATAAACATTAAAAAAGACTAAAAAAATTACAATGAGATGTCATCTTACACCTGTTGGGATGACTATCGTCAGAATGTCAAAACACAGCAAGCATTGGTGAAAGGGTAGAGGAAAGTCAGCCCTCGTATGTTCTTCTTACGGAACCCACTAGGGGTCAGGCTTGAGTTCATCCTGTTGAAACCGTGTGTATAGAATTAAGTTCTACCTCAGGGGATGTCATCAACCACGTGCATGGAGTACCCCATGCTTACTTGAACTTAGTTGGCTGTGTCCAAAGAGGCTGTGCCTTAGAACGCTCTGGAATCAGACTACATGGGATTTGAACTCCATCCCACATTTTTCCAGCTGTGAGACTTTAATGTCAAGTCACTTAACTTTTCGGGGCCTTGGTTTCTCCATCCACAAACCGGGTTCCTACCAGTGCTTATCTTACAGAGGTTTTGTCTGGGTTATAGAATATAATAGTAATTCTAAAATAAAAACTTTGTTATTATCAGCTGTAGTAATAGTTGTGGTGGTAACCGCCATGATTAAAGCAAACATATGGCGCTTACTCTGTGCTAAGGGATTGTTTTCATCGCCTTGCACATAGCAGCCCATGTAATACGACACTCTTACGAAATGGGTACAGCTGTCATCTCCACTTACACACCAGGAAAGCGAAGCACAAAGCATCCGAGTCACAGAGCTAGCAAGTGGCGCAGCCACAAGTTGATCAAGCATTTGCATGTACACCAACAACGTTTCCAACATGAAGAGTTACTACTATTGACGATGGTTTTGCTCCAGGGCAGAAGTGGGAATCGAACCCAGATTTGACTTGAGGATTCATAGTATTTCCCACCAAACCCAAGGGCTTCTGTCCAGAATAAATACATGTACACTTTTTCAGGCGGCGTCCCACACGTGTGGTGAGCAGGAGGGCATTGAGGTACGCTGACGGATATGCCGCGTGGCCCCACTCACGTGGCACTGCCTTAAGCCACGTGCCAGGGATGGTCGCAGAATGCTGTTGTCAAAACTGCCTGAAACCAGCTATCTGCTCCCCAGAACCAGAAACATCGAGATCGTGAAACATTTAGCTACCAGGGCGAGCCATGGGAAAGACTTTGAGAATCACTTTCGTCTACTCTCTGCCCTGAATGGACGTCAGAAACGACTTCCCAGTGACGACGAAGCAAGGCTAACAAGGGTGACAAGGACCACCTGTCATGAGTAGGTAGCCTGTGCTGTCTTCTGGCCTCACCGCTTTACCCACGTGACTTCTCAGAGCCCTCACACCAGACCTGTGATGGAGGCACATCGCAGCCCTCCAACGATGGCCGTTGAGCACATGTTATCTCTTGGGTGCTGTTTTGCTTTTGCTGGAGATAAAGTAAGGAATGGGAGGAAGTCGTGGCTCCAGAGCCTGCAGTCCAGAGGGGAGAAAGGTACTAAAGAAGCAAACACACACGTTGATAGAAATGGATATGCATGTACGCATGGGTACGAATGCTG